ACCATCGTGACACCTAATGTGTGGAGGTTGTATTTGCAACAATAGAACAAGGTTTCCAGCCTTCAGGATACCAGCTTTGTTGCTAAAACGTGACATTTTTTTATTTCTGTCCCTCTGCCTTAGACTTTACCTAAACTCTCTCTGGTTTTAGATATTTTATGGTCGTCCCTCTTGTGGGAAGAAAAACGACATTTTCTGGGCTCAGAAGTAGCCGCTTGACTTGCCGAGACCTCCATTTTCCACAGCGCCAGCCTCGCTGTGCTGAACGGACTGTTTGGCAACTCATAATGGTGCCCTCTACTGGCTGGAAGATTTAAACCATTTAAACGCAAATCTGGTGTCATTTGACTTTTTTTTCATCAAAATATGGCTTTTTAAGGAAATACTGTACCTTCATTATGCACACATTTAAACTCCCCATGGAAGCATTTTTATAAATATACCTTTTTATTAAATTGTTCAAAATTCAACATTTAACTGAGATAAAAAAAAACGAATTATCCAAAGAAATGAAGGGATAAAAACCTAAATTAAATACTCAGAATTGAATATTTACGTATTAACTATCATGAAGATACACGTTACTCAGGAAAAACTCATCTAAAGACATTAGTCTGATTATTTATGCATTTGGCTAGATGTTTAAACTGCACTTAACACCATCTTGACAGGTTGGACCACCATCAGAGGCCAGCTCCACTCTCACTTAGCCATAATGATTACACATTTGAACGTGTAGTGCAGTGGGAAGCCTGGGCTTGTTAGGAAAGTAAAGCACCACTGGGGGAAACGGAGCATGTGACAACTGTCTGGCATCAAAGTGGGATGAGTTTCCTGCCTCCAACTCAAACTTTTAATGTGCTGTTGTGAATTCACAGCTTAATTGAAGTTGTTTCAGGTGTTTGGATACAGATGTGACAAACAGAAAAGTGTCTACACTGACACCAGCAGCCGGCTTCTAAAAATATTCTCCACAGCAAGGACAGAAGCTCAGAAGGGAGGGTAAGTGTGCCACCTAGTGTCTGTCACACTAATGACTTCATTGCATCCACTTAAAAAGAAAATGCAAAAGGGGGAAGCTGACACAAACTTACCCTCAGGAATTTCTTACAGTGGCCTGTGTGTCATTTTGCATGGGGCAGAATACACACAAGTGATTTAAATATTCATAAATCAACCTAAATTGCATACATGCATGACCTGTTTTATGCTCACTTGTCACACAAATGTTGCCAAAGAAACTAAAAGAATTACATAATGCCAGTTAAGTAGGGTTTTGCAGTAAGCTCAAGGACAAATAGCACCATATATGTTATTGTCAGTTATTTGAATAATATAATTTTGGAGAAATACAAACTGGATTGGATCGATGAGCTAACAACTAGTCTGACCAGACTCATTTCCAAAGGGATTACTGATGTCCTAAAACAACTTAAATGTCACATTTGTCACAATTCATGAAAATAATTTTTATAAACTTTTACATTACGTAACACAGTTATTTGAACACATTATATAAGAAATTAAAAACAGTGCTAGCTAGCTTTCTGTAGCATTTCCTGTACAACACTTACTGTATGTTCAGATCATTTTATTATTTTTGCCACAATGATCAATATATGCATGATGCATTTTAAAGGTTTTCAAAATAGCATTAGCATAAATGTGCAACTCGTTTTCTTCACCCAATCCTGATTGGACTCTAGCTAGTAGGTCAGTTCAGAACTATGCATGAGGTCATTCAAAGAGCTATCAGGAACATGTGACATTTTGTTTGTTTGTTAACTTCCGAGCACAAAAATAAAACTCACGTGGAGGATAAGGGACTTCAGATTTTTTGATGGAGGGAAATCTAATACACCTTATGAGGAGAGATTGTTTTTGCAGTATGACGAAAACTAATTACAAGCATTAAATGAATTTCACGCTATTGCCTTAAAATTAATTGCATCTCCACAGAGGTGACTGGGAGTGATGGCTCAAGCAGTCCTTTTATACGGGTGGATGTATAAAATGGTGTACCGAATTATGCAAATAATCTGACACGTTATAAATTTGAGGATGCATTTTGATCAGCCTGGATTATTTGTTTTGAATAAATCCTCATTAGGATATGTCAGTGTGTTGCTTGCATTTAGCAAGCAACACACTATTTTTTGTGAATATCTGGCTGTTTCTGCGCAAGAAAATTACACATTTTAAATCACTGCACTGCACAAAGTAGGTTTTTATGATGAGGTATGCTGCCGTTTTATGTGAAACTCATTGCACCCTGGTTCTCAGTTTAAAGGAAGGTGATAGATTTCACACTCACGCAGTGGTAACCATCTATAAATAAACTGTGTCAAATGATTTTGCTGTTCATACAACCAGACCTCAGAGCAAAGCCATCACTGTGAGAGGTTACAAAAGGTTAACATGACTACATCACGACATTTTCTATCTGACACTTTTGTTTTAATGGAGAAAAAAACTCACTGCAACAGTTAAAATGTATAGGTGTTAGAAACTACAGATTAGTGAAGTAGAAGTCAATGCTGCTTTTTGAAGGACATTTTTGATTAAAGGGATACTTTCCAATCATTTTCTTGAACCAGTATGTGTTAAAATGACCCTTTACAGGTTTAATGAAAGGTCACCCAGCCCTTGTAGATTCCCTGTGTCCAAAACTTCAGAATTGCTGGTCCAGTCTGTTGGGAGTTCGAAAAAATTGAGCTGACATACCTGGCGCTACAGTCTGCTTCCAGCATGTTTCCTTCAAATTATGAAAACAGCTGATTTGTTTAATTTAGCGATGAGGAAGACTGGGGAGACAGTTAAGCTGATTAACGTGTTAAAAACGCACAGTGAGGAGATGCAAATGAACACTAGGGGGTGCTAAAAGCAAGCCAAAACTGCCTAATTCTCCTTTAACTGTCAGTTATTTAACATTTTCTTAAATGGTGTAGTTTACTCACTTTTTCTATACGTTTGCAGTGTTCTCTATTGTAAACCAATGCCTTGTGAGTCATTAAAAAAGGTATGATGTTCCAGTTCGGAGATGCAGAAGTTTGCTGGTGTTGATGAGGGCTGAAAACAGCAGGATTACTCATTATTGTTCATCTCTTGTTCGGTTCTTTGTGCTATGCTCTAGTTGTTTTATTCTTTTATATTATTCGTTTAACCTTATATGTTTTTACCCCTGTACAGCACTTTGGTCAGCTCACATGCTGTTTTTAAATGTGCTTTATCAAAAAAATTGAATGGAATGGAATTGTTAATCATATGCACATACCTCACTTCTGATTGGCTAGCAGAACGCATTCAGCCAGCAGAAGCTCAGGAGGTAGAGCAGGTTGTCCAGTAATCAAAAGGTTGCAGGTTCGATCCCGGCTCCGGCCAGAGAATGCTGCTGTTGTGTCCTTGGGCAGGACACTTAACCCATCTTGCCTGCTGGTGGTGGTCCGAGGGACCGGTGGCGCCTCAGCAGAGCAGCCTCGCCTCTGTCAGTGCGCCCCAGGGAGAATGTAGCTCATCCCCAAAAGCATACAGTATGTGTGTGTGAATGACTGATTGTGCTGTGAAGCGCCTTGGGGGGTTGTAGAACCCTAAGAAGGCGCTATACAAATACAGGCCATTTTACCATTTACCATGTTGCAAAGTCACCATCACCAAAACACTCTCCGCCCTCTCTCCCTTCAGCAAAAAAAAAGCCTTCCTGTGGGCAGGCGTGAGACAAGATGGGCGAGGCCATGTACGTAAATTCAGTGTGACATAGATATGTGAGGATTTTCAAAATCCTTCCATTTTAACATCTATTTACTATCAGAAGCTAACACAGGACATAGGGGTAGAAGATTATTTTCATGTTCAGCCTGCATGAAAAGCTCAGTGACCAAATATATCAGAGACATGGACGTAATTTTGGGGGGGGACAGGGGGGACATGTCCCCCCCACTTTTTCCAAAGTCAAGTTTTGACCCCTGCATTTTTACCATCCAAAAGCAATATTACACTATATTAAATTGACACTGGTTGAGCTCTAGGACCAAGCGGAAAACAACTGTTTGTGTTGAAGGCTGTTTCCAATTAGAGCATACTGTAAAGATACACCCCCCCCCCCCCGTTTCCCCCCCCACTTCTTAAGTGAAAATTACGTCCATGATCAGAGATAATCATTAAACATGTTTTTTCAGTATTCCACACCTTTAAAAATGATGTGACTTTCCAAGAGTCTTTTATATAAAAAAAAAAGAAAGCTTTGATGTTAGCATCTCACTTACATCTTAATTGTTCCAGTATTATCTTTAATCTATGCAGATGATATTCTGGTAGTTTTAACAAGATCCCAGTGTTTGATCATGAAGGGAGATTGTTTTTCACTCCAGGATTTTAAATTCCCAATCCTTTTTTTTCCTGCTGTTCGCCATCATTACTTTTGTTTGTTCCTAAACGATCAAACGACCGAAGGTCTTTTATAGATTTTAATCACACGGATTATGTTTCAATGAAAGCAAAGTGTGCTGATGATCCTTCAATTAGTGATCTAAAGCTCAGCAGGGATTCATATTAGCATTTCAACTTTTGATGGATTAATTATTTACAGATACCTGTGAATTATTTAGCACGCGGTTGTTTATTTACAAAAATGTCACTGAAAATGGCAACAATTTGCTGAAACATTTTTTTTCTGTGTGCTGCAGAACTTTGCATGGCCTAGTTGTCATGGATACGCAAAGGGAAGTTTGATAATCCCAGTGCTCCGACTTGCAGGTCAATATTAGCTTGTTAAGGGATTTTGCGTGTGCTCTAACATGGTGGTAGTTCAAGAGACACACCCAGTGAATCATTCACTCAAAGTACACAAAGACAGAGTGGCTTGTTTCAGCTTGAAGAATAAAGGTCCCAACATGAAATCTGAACCTCAGAGATAGCAGTTTGAGTTTGTATTAGCACAGTAAATTCAAATCTTGAATTTTATTTACCCATTAATAACTCATTGAAACCATGCAACAACAGCAAAAATTGAATATTCTTTTAATGAATCATTACAGCATGTTAAATAGGCAATATGATGGCCAGGTTTCTTATACAAGTCTGAACAGTGTCAAGTCTTCTGAGGAGTCACGCCTCACACCAGCGTTCACGCCCTCATGGTAACTTTCACAAGGTCGCTGTCGGAATGTTGCAAAAATCCGACCGACGCTGCGGCGAAACCACACCCAGTTAACCGTAAACACATTCCAATGTGGCTGGAACGCGTTCACACTGATAATTACAGCAAGACACAAGAAATATGAAGCGACTTCAAGTTGAAGAAACCCTCCAAGCCCAATCTGCCCATTCCTTCAGAAAGATGTGAATTTGCATGAAATACTTTATGAAATGTCAATGAAGGCAGCTGCATTGATTTCATTGTACATTTAGGTTGGTTTTCACTTTAAAACATACTTACAAAATAAAACAAATCAATGAAAGTTAGACAAAAATCACACAAGTTACAAAACATTTTAACAGATTAAAACAAACCAAAATACCACAAGTTTTTCTTTACAAATCAATATAAAACCTTGCATCCCTTCTTTGAATTCAAACATTTAGGGGTTAAACCAGAACTCTAGAGGCATGTTAACACACAGCAATGCAAGTCTTGTAAAGCTGACTGCATTTACTTTGTTCTCAGTGCAAATGACTTCTACCAAAAGCTTCAAAATAATAATTATAACACAAAAAAGGCAACGGAAATACTAATAACATCCAAAGGTGTGCTAAGTGTTCTGCTGTCTCAAATTCCTGTAGAATAGAAAAATAAACACAGATGAATGTCTTTGTTCATGACTTTGTGCAAACTTCTGCAAGAGATTTGAACTTTGGTCCGAGTGTGTTTAGAAATTCGAGGTTATCTCTGTCGCCGATGTCACTGTGGCATCCCACAGAGCCAGCTGTAGAGCCCGCCCCCTCATAACCATAGCAGTGAAGGGTGTCGTTGACCTCCTCCTCCTCCCTTTCCTTTTGCCCCATATACTTCATTCTCTAAAAGTGAAAGGAGAAGGTGGGTGTTATTTTTGTGGACTACATCTGGATAGAAAGGTAGCTCGAGATATGACTGACCGTCAGATATGAGAAGTGGAAATACTCATTGTTAAACTACTGTTTTCTGTTATAAATATCAAAGTCTATACAATATAGGGCAAACTTACCTCCTGTAGCATGAGCTCTACTGTTTGCCAGTGAAGTAAAGATGAATCCTGGCCCCTATAGTCCATGCCGTTACCAAGAAGCGTACTTCCAACATGTTGAGTACCATAGTGGTCAAACTGTCTAGAGTAGACATCCTGAATGTTAGTCATGGTCATACCAGACTGGTTATATCCAAAGTCGTGCATGCTATGGCCTCCAATTGTACTGAAGCTTTTGTTTCCTGCCCATCCTTGATTCATTATAGAAACCTTTGAGCCTTTTGCTCCTTGGTCAAGCCCCATAGAGAGGAAATTGGCATCCTGAGGAGGAACATAATTCACAATTAGTTCTAAATAAAAGGTTTATACATACAGTATATCTTCAGGAAAAGTTTCATTATAAGAGCTGCATGTACAAAGGATGGTTTTCTGGCCTTACCACGTTGTCTCCCAGGGCTTCTGTGTTCGATTCTAGCAGTGTTCCCTTGTAGTCGTCTGCTTCCATGATTTGGGCCTTTTGTTTCTTGGTTGCACAGATAAATATGAGAAACAAACCTGCAAATAGCAAAGAAAGAGTGTGACACATTCAGTAGGTGTACAAAAGTAGGTAGAACAGCATTAAAGTGGTACTTTACTCATATTTCAGGGACTAGAAGGAAGCCAGATCAGACTTGAGCTGAACATGGCAGGATTTGGAGTCTGGATCTTTGGACGCCTTGCTTCTGATTGGCTAACTGCAATGAAACTATCACTGACTCCATTTGCTCTGCAACGTTGATGTTTTATCTCCACAAATAACACCAAGTCTGAAGGAGTTCTGCTGTGCTATGGAGTTGCTAATGCTAACAATTAGCTTTAACTAATCGAGATGTTCTCTGCTGACACTAAACCAAGAACAGCTTTCCCCGTCGCGAGTCAAGATGGATGAGTCCGCGAATATTAAGTGACAGTGTGATGTGGATCTATCAGGCTTTTTAAATCCTAGAGTTTCACCGTCTATTTTCAATCAGAATCTAATGCAGGAGACAGGTGTAGGAGACTATTTTCATGTCCGGCCTGCATGAAAAACTCAGAGTGACTGATTGAATTCAGAAATAAAATTTTAAAAATGTTTTTTTTAGTGAAGTACCACTTTAAATACATAAGAGCACACCTTCCCTGTCGATGTCTACATTTCAAATAATTATTTGAGTACAATCTGAAGGACTTACAGAGCAGAAGGAGGAGGAGCAATGGCAAAAACAAAGCCAGAGCACCCATTGGCCCTAAAGCCACAGCTCTTTTCTGGGCCAAACAGACTCCACTTCTACACCTGCAGATGGTGACTTTTGTTATCTTTTCAGCACCGTATCCCTGCTGATCTCTCACAGTTATCGGGACGTCGTATATCCCTGTAGAAAGGGGTTTCACCTGCTTCAATTTAGCAGAAGTTGCTGTAAAACCCACAAAAAAAAGTCACAGAAGTTAATTTTTTTTATGTTTTCAGAAAAAATTACTTGTTATAAAAATGCATTGAAAATAATAAAAAAAAACAGGCATAATTAAAATGACCTAAACTAAAGACACCAACCATTAAGTGGTTCCAGAGACCAAGTGCCATCATTGTCAGGTGGGAGTCTGAAGCTGAAGGGGAAAGTATTTGGACTTCCGTCCTTGTCTTCGGCCGTGACCACCACAGAGCCAAGCTCGTCTTCCGTCTTCTGACACAGCACCAGTCCGGGGGGGAATACTGGCATGTTGTCATTCTCGTCTATAATTTTAAGGATGACAGTTCCTGTTCCGGATTTGGAAGCTGAAATGCAGATGGGATTAGATCAGTAAAGAATGCAAGTAGGAAAGGAATAGTCTGTTTTGCTTTTGTTAGTCCATCTGAGATTTCAATTACATGGAAATTCAAACAAGACTGGACCAAGAATGAGTCATTAAAAACACCAGTGTAAGTGAGAACTTGCTGGTAAACAGATGTTCTCAGGTGAAACAAAGACGGTGTTCAGGCAGGAATAAGGTGGGGCTGTGATTCCTTTGAACATTTGACTATTAAACAGCTTTCATCACAAGGAAAGATTGTGAACATTATGTCCTGTGATGTAACAGAACGGGCAGACTAGACATGCTTCCAAACCAAGATTTCCATTCAGGTTTGACGAGCATCTATTTGGGTGAGATTGAGCCAGAGGCGCGACGTTGAAGACTTTGATTACTTTGTCAGATAGTGAAGTTAAAGAATCAACAAAGGAAGGTGGGAAATGCTTGTTTTTACATGAATATTTGTGTAGCGTTCAGAAGAGCAACCACAGGAGGTAACTTACTTGCATCAACAGCCCTCACGGTGATGTTGTACATCCCATCGCGGACAAGATCTGACTCTCTGTCAATCGTGTTTGCAACCGTCAGCTGTCCGGTGTTTTTATCCACATTAACCCAACCGCCTGGATCAGAAGACTTGTAATAGCTGGAACAGTAAAAAGGTTCAGCAGTCAGAGGCTACCCTCCAGTGTTTAAAAGATCGAACAGAAACTCAAGACCACTTCCTTAGAAGGATTAAATTAAAAGAGCTTACGTGATGCCATCACTCTTTTTGGTCTCAGGGTCTTTAGCTGAATATGTTCCTATTAGTGTGCCATTTGGTGTGTTTTCCTTGATTGTGAAGGTGATAGTGGGAGCTGAGAACTCCGGGCCTTCGTCAACGTCGGTCACAGTGACATTTACAGGAACTGTCTGCCACTGGGCCGAGGTGCTATTCAGCTCCGCTTCATTACGAGCCAAAACCTCCAGCCTGACAATTGGGCTGATCTCATAATCTAAGGGCTGAAAAAAGAAACACATTAAAAAGGTTAATCAAATATTTCATGAATTACAGGACAGATTTTGAAGAAAGACTCGTACATCTACAAGTGGTTCACTTTTGGACTCTTTACATTTCAAGATGGCTGCCACAACTAAACAAAAACAAGCTATAAATCAGTCAATTTTACTGATATTGAGCTAAATTTTAATGCAATTGTAGCTGAGACTAATTTATAACGCATTTTATTTCATGACTGCTATCAATTTAGGCAAAATGTTGCAATTTCTAGTGATATGCATAATGTTATTTTCAAGCATTCCCCAAAAAAACAACTAGATTTACCAACATAAAATTCTCTGTAAGCAAAACTCCACCTTGAGAGGTAGTGGGCAACATGCATTACTTTCATTTATTAGAGGCAGTTTGGATGAAATAATTATGACGTTTGAATTGCTTCTGAAAATATCTGAATATTATACCCACCTTAGTAACATAAAGACATCCCTCGTTTGTTGCAGGATCTCTATCAATCCTAAAATTTCCATTTTCGTTTCCTTTTGTGATGATAAATTTGGAAATCCAGTTGGGTGTGTTTATTAAGTCCTTGTCTTCCACAGGAATTCTCAGGAGAAGTTTTTCCCCCACGTTTTCTGCTATAGTTGCTTTGTACTGGGGAAAATTTTTAAAATGAATGAGAATGCATCCCTAACTACTTTTTTCCTTAATTTGTTTTCCCTTGTTTACTTACTGGTGTTTTTAGGAAAGTCGGTGGGTTGTCATTGACGTCTCTCAGATTAATGGTTACCGTGCAGGTGGTGAAGAGGCCGTTCGCTGCACCTTCCCTATCTCTGGCCTCTACTATGACAAAGTGCTTGTCTGTTGTCTTAAAATGCAAACAAAACAACCAGATTAGAAGAAAGAAAATCTAATGTTGAAATTTGAGATGATACGAAACCAGTTTGTTGGGTTTAAACAAGTAAAACATTTGCAAACCTCTCTGTCCAGCGTGTTGGTGACAGTAGTGATGGTGCCACTTTTTGGGTGGATGGCAAAATAATTTAATCCAGACAGAAGCTTGTACTGGACCCTAGAATGATCAGTGTTTGGGTCATCTCTGTCTGTTGATTTCAGCTGCCCCACCAACGTGCCTGTGATGGAAATCATTCTCATTTAGAGCACAGTAATGTCTAATAAAATGTGGCAAATGTGCATTTCCTGTTGCTCACCTGGGCCGTTTTGCTCATCTACAACAAACTGCAGTGGGCCTATGAATTCTGGTGCATTATCATTTTCATCATCAACAATGACTGTGATGGGTGCAGGGTTGTCTCTTTCTTTTTGATTTAATTTGTCAAAGACACGGGCAGTTAACTGCAAATAAAGATTTGACAAAACATTTACGAAGACTTGTTATCAGGGGAGAAATATTCAGTTTCTATCATTATGGCACTTTGCACTTTTTTATATGTTGAAGAAACTCAACTACCCTTAAAAATATTTCATAAAATAAAACTAAGTTTTATATGGTTTTATTTTCCTCTAAAAACTGATGCACAACCATGAATGGTACACTTAGCAATGCATTTGTTTATGGTTCACAGCTGGGTGGGTTCTGTTTGTCAACACTCACATGAAACTCTGAATACTCTTCACGGTCCACAGATTGTTTCAAATAAAGTTTTCCGTTCTCAGAATTGAATGAGAAGATGTCAAATGGGTACTCGTCTATTCCAGGTCCTCTGAGAGTGTAGAAGACACTGTAGTTTTGACTTGAATCTGACACAAACTATAAAAAAACAAACAAAAAATGGTCTCAAACATGTTGTGTTTACATTGATTATAGTGAAAAATCTTGTATAATATCTGAACAGTTATTCAGGATGAGTTGTATATTAAAGTTTTGTCTAAACAGTACTGCTGCACTGCCACTGCCCAAGATATTCATCACCTTCACTCCAAATTCGGGCTGTACACAGGTGTTCCGTTTTACCACAAACAAAGCCAATTAAGGTTTTATTCTAGAGTTACCATCTAATTACAAAATTCAAAAGCCTTGACCTAGGGGTGGGCAATATAAACCATATAAGGTAGAAACAATATAAAATTGGGTAATAGAGTTTTTGGCTATATCACAAAACCACAATATCACTATAACACATGATGTCACTAAGATGTGCACCCTGCTGACATTGGGGCAACAGAATGGCAGTGACTGCAAGCATGGAGTGGGCGGAGGAGGAGGCCTATATGCCTCAAGTGGCATAGATTTGCCACATGAGGATATTTAAAAGCATGTCATTTTGACATATATACCCGGTAAACAGAGGAAAAAATATATTGCAATATATATCGTTACCGCACATGCTTCAGATTATATCGCAATATAGATTTGAGGCCATATCGCCCAGCCCTACCTTGGCCTTTCAGTGGCCCGATATGACTAACATTAAGAAGGTACGTTTGAATTTCATTAAAACTGAGTTAAAATGAGAATATTTGACATACTTGATCAATATATATGGGGAAAGGGGGTTTGCCATTCTCCAGTATGTGGAAGGGTGCAGGTCTCCAGTGTCTTTTGGTGCGCTTCAGAACTGCTTCACGTTTTTCCTGAAATACAAAGAAGTCAAATAAGATCGACCAATATAGATATATCGATATAGATTTTTATTTAGAGCCCATACAACCCAAATGAAAGCAGAATAGTGATCAGCAGACTTACATTTGTCTTCCTTGTTCTTTTATAAACAAGGTGAACTTCCATCTCACTTTCCGGCCCATTGTTGTCATGTACTCCCACAGAAAATGTCCGCTCTCCGGTTTCCATCGTCACAGACCTCAGCGCTATAATAACTCCATCACTTCGGACAGTAAAACTCGGGTCCTTTGATGAAAACCACAGAGATGTGGGGTCGCAGCCGGATGTTTCAACTTAGAAAATGAAAATGGAAAAAGTAATAAAATAAGTGACACACGTCTCTAAACCATACGAAAAGAGTTTTAAATATGTCGAGTTAATGTACAAATGTCAATCATTTATGTACCTTTTGCGACGTATCCAGCTGGAATAGTTAGTGGCACGCGCACGTAAAAAGGACTCTGAACATAACAGGACTGTCCGCGCGACGACATCTAAAGAAATTCGACACATCACAGAAGTCAAGCTTTTAAAAAGGTATTATTTAAGCGTCGCGTTCACGGCATAAATGTGTGGACAAAGCTGTTTGGTAAACGGAATGTCATAAAAACGGAATAAGAACTTACCAGCGCTGTGAAGAAGAGGGTGAGCATTAAAACTTTTGCCATTTTTTTAATTAAAACTAAACAAAATACGGATTTCGACCCGGTCCAAGGGGATGAAAGTCCACTAGATGCTGCTCACTGAGTCATAAAATGACAAATGATCGAGGTTTCGCTACGGTCTGTCTGTCATCCGACGCTCTTTTTCACTTTTTAAGGTGTGTGTGTGCTCAGATATGTTCTTCAGTCGGCACTAGCAGGAAGTCGACACACCTAGACACACACACACCCCAGATAAGCTGGCTGCACCTTTGGGTGGAGTATGTACTATGTTCGATGGTTTCAACAAACTAAACCGAAAAAGCACACAAAAATATTCCTTTTCCTTCCAGCAGGGGGAAACATTTCCTAAGTTTTAAAACTTTGTAAGCCCCCTGTTGTTCAAACGCAGGCAGATTAATTTTACATTTGTTGTATTTAACATATTTATATTAAAATAACACACATGATGAAGGTGAAAGCACTCTGTTGCCCCTTTCTGTGTGTCCCCTAAGAGTTAAGTTTGTTTTTACAAGCCGTCTCCCAGAGCTGCACAGCGTTTGACCTCTTCGCACTCCTCCTCCTCCTCTTCAGCAGTTTCAGTCAAGCATTTCTGGCTTTAGAAACATAACTGGGATCCTCACTTAGCACCGCAGGAATGTGAGCCTAAACCAAGCCTGGTGTGGGGGAGGCTGCGTTCCCACAACACAACGCTCACTATCACTATAAACTACTGATAAAAGAAAAGCGGCTGTCGTTCTAAAATATGCATCCCCCATTCAGGTCAGCCAGACAAGAAGGCCTTGTTTAAAGCGCCTTGGGAAGTTGAGACTGTAGGGGGGTTGTGTGCAAGGGGGGGACAACAGGAAAGGTGAGAAAAATGTCAGGAAGCTTGTTCGCTGTGAGTCATGGGTGTGGACATAAGGAGAAGGCTTACATTTGGGACCAACAAAACAAAACACACTCAGCAAATAGTCATTTTTGAGAGTGCCTCCAGCTAAAACGAAAGTTTGTTTGACGAGTAAACACCAGTGCTTTTGCTGCTATTGATTCTAGTGTCCCTTCATCTTCCTCGCCACACATTCAGCAGCATGATGACGAGAAAATAAGCCATAAAACGCCAGTTTTAGATTTTGCACATAATCTAAGCCTTAGATTTTGCTGAGTAGCTCAGACAGCTATAGGTGAGTCATTTTTTTTACGGTAGCCAGGAAATACAAAAGCCACAAAACGAATAGAAAGCCACAACATAATTACACTGCAAAAAAAAAAAAAACCGGATGTGATAACATGGAAGTTTAAAAAATTAAATGATCACATACAGTATTTGTACTGCTCACTGTTATTCTCTGGAATATAGGGTCACACCTGCCCCAGGCTGCCGAGACAGTTTCAAGTGGCTGGCATGGGCGCGTCACTTCCAAATGATGATGTTTTGAACTTACGTCGGCACGGTAAAGGTGTCTGTGCTGCCAAGTGAAAAATGCCTCAAGGGTTGTTAGTTACACGGTGTTCTTCATGCATTCACGTCAAGGAAGCTGCCATGGATCCTGTCAGTTTGTGAACACGTGCACTATCAGGGTGGATTTTATGCCCACAGCCAAAATGCTCCACCCCTCACACACCTTTTGCCCTCTGGGTAAGTACAGTTTCAGTCCTCTATCATGTGCACACGTTAGTCCTGGTATTAGCCTTAGATTGTCCCATCCATAGTCTTTAGTTTGTGTTTTGAAACTGTGACAGCTGAAATCAAGTTTTGTTCACTTTTCTAGGTTACCTCAAATGCTCCCAAACTGTTTCACAAACATCAGATGAGTCGGACTAAATCCTATATGTCATCAGTAAAATTTTTCACATCAATACTTCAAAGAGCAGATTTATCGCTCTGCTTTGACTTGCATAAAGTGGTATTGTGTCACCTGAGGACATTCTCCGAAAGTAGTTTGGTCCCTGGAGCTTTAAAGACAAGCATCATCATTAAATGAGACTCGCTCGTCTACATTTTAGTGCAAATATATGAAAAAAAACACAAAAAGGCTGTTTGTAAAAAGTAGACACTTTAAATGGTGCCATGTTTATTTTAACGTGTATTGGTCACCCCTCATCAAAAGCACTCCTTCACTTCTGCCGATGGGAAAAAACAAAGTCAAATTAAACCGCTCTCATTGTGACCGATCAGTGATTCATGGCTACTTGAAAGGGATCTCAGACTAGATAAAACCGGTACTGTGTTTTCCCACACACACCTGTCGCCATGGAGAGGCTTATTTTTTGTGTGTGGTGTAGACAGTGAGCCTGTTTCAACCTTTTTTTTCTTTGTTTTTTGAAAATTAGGCATGTTTTAGCTAGAAAACAGACCAACTAGAACCTACAAGCTCATGCTTGCACACAGCCCAAAGGTTGTCAACTAAGGAATTTCATTTTCAGCCTTGAAATATTACAGGTGGGTGAGAAAACACAGGCCAAAAGTCACCATAATCTAATTCTCATTTGAATTTTAAAAACACAATAAAAATCACTTTTTTAAGAGAAATAAACTTGTTGTTATTATTGGAAATTTACATTTCACAGCAATAGACTCAGTTTCCTTGGTTACCTTCCTTAAAAAGAGGTGAATAAAACATTAAAGCTCATATTTGGTTGCAGATTGGCACTTTGAGAAAGGATAGCAAAATGTAGTTTCACAGCATCAAAGCAGGTTAAATGTGTACTCCAACGCTGGATAAATCACTCTGTTGTCAGTGGCTGCACTCAGAGGTGTGTGTTTCTCTGCAGTGTATGTGTGTGTGTGCAACTCTGAACAATGAGTTACGGCAAGATCCTAAACCATGAAACCTAAAACTAAAAACCACTACAAACTTTCATCATGATTTCAGAAAATGTTAAATATTTGGAAAAAAAAAACCCAATTTATACTGTTAAACTACTTTTTAGATACTTTTTTTCCTGTTTGTTTCTCCATTATTACTGCTTTAATTTGCTGCTAAGATACTCCATCATAAATAACCAAATGCTTTATCTTTGAGGACTTCTAGTCACAAATAAAGTACATTTATCCCCATATTTTTTATATGTAATCACCACAGTTTGCTTACATGTTGTTATTTATTGTTTGCAATGTGTAGCCTACACCTTTATTAAAGGTGTGTGTTTAGGTGTAATGGTGGTAACGGCTCTAATTTGCACACAGAGGTTGAAATCAGTGCTCCCATTATAAATCACTATTGTGGTCAACAGTTTTTCTCAAAGATTTAATAGAACATATTTCTGTCTGTTTTAAATGAGTGACAGGCAGTACTTATTCTGTATTTGAGTTTGCTTTTGATCACCTTTATTTTGAAATTAACGTGTTGCTAGCTGTGCAGGTGTATGTGCTACTGTTTGTTAGCGGGATTAATCTAATCTGTAATCTGAGAAGTGTGGGCCTGTTTTCTGTTGGTGCCTCACACAGAAACGCCCACCGGACCAACATGTCTGACCAGCCTGCCCTGATGATGTCCATATTTCCCACCTGTTTATAATGATTTTATTTATTTAGCAACAGGAAAGAGCGTAGCTATGAAAACAAACAGCATTTTTTTAATCTTCTACGTATCAAACAGAAACTTTTGGTCCCGCCCCGCGTGCTAAAAGCTCCATTCTCCTCCCTCTCAGGGTTAAAGTCTGTCCCAACCAACAATAGACTAAAGCGGAATTCACACGGAGTCTTCCTCGCTCCAAATCCAGGACTTGAAAGTAGATTTTCACCTACAGTCGATGGCGCATCTGCTGAAATGCAGCGTTTTTGTCCTCCTGCTCTTCTACCTCGCTGTAAGTAAAACGTTAAACCCTTACTTATTTTCAGAGGGTGTTTTAGACACACTCGGATCCCGGACAGGTGTGGCTCCACTCGGTTTGTAGGTGAAAATCGGAGAATAGTTTACTTTAAAACTACATTTTCATCCATTCCTTGATTAAAGTGAATCTTACCGAGTAATTGTTTCATTTCATCTCCCACGTGACAGCTTTTAGTTGTTTTTTTCCCATAAATTTTACATGTGGAAAAGTATCTGGAGGCACTGAGTTTAATTAGGTCCTGGTGTCATGTGTCAGATTGTTCCCTTCACGTTAATTGAGCCTTTATAAATACTCAGTATTTTGGTATTGACATTTAAAATAAAATGTCTTAACAGATTTTATTTCCTCTGAAATAAAAACGTAAATTTAAACATTTAAAAAAATGTCTGCAACATTAATAATGTCCTTGGATATATTTAGGTATGCTTATTATCACTATCTTCCAGTTATTAAAGTGTCAGAGCACAGAAAGTAAATAAATAAAAACTGTCTCGAACTATTGCATAAAAGGTCCCTACACTTGTTATCAGTAACTAGTCAACAAGGGTGGCTTGTTGTGATTATTGCACATATACATAATTAAATTGAATGTTTTCCTTCTCCTTTGTTTACTTGCAGCTCGTTTGTGTGAGGGGAGAGTGGATTCTGGCTCCCCGGCCTCTTTATGAGAACACGGATTACACCGGTTATGACTTTCTTGCCAAGGTTTGTTCTTCTCTTTTAAAGAAAATATTTTATTTTATAATAAATAACCCTGTTTTAAATGGTAGGGTGTTTTAATTCTAGGTGTGTTGTTAAAAAAATGTCTGAGTAATATTTTGTTTTGATAGCTGGGTTTGTTTCTTTAATACACACCTAGCATGAGAACAGTTTCAGGAAGAGACAATGGAAATGTTGTTTACTGAATCATTTTCTTATTAAAAATTCCCAACATGATGAATGATGTTTTTATAGTAGTCTCAAATAAACAAATGTCCCATGTCCCAATTGTGTTTGCTTGTTTTTTCGCTCCAGACCTAAGAAAGAACCTTGTTTAGTGAAAATTAAAAATTACAACTAATTTCACATTATTCTTTTAAAGCCAACATATGTGTTGGGACAACAATGTCTTTTAGGACTGTCTCCATTTATTTATTAGTGATTGTCAACCTTGTTGAATACATTTATTTTAAATCACTAAGCAGAATACAGCTGAGGCCATAACGTTTTCAGACCGAGTTGCAAAAAGTATCAAAGAATTTTTTTGTAAATAAGATTTTGTCTCATTTATTCACTGATTTTCTAATCTGATGCCATATTTTAAAATAATAATATTAAACAAACCAAAAAAATCTGTTTCACCCACCAAATCAAAATTAATCTAACTCAGTCCAGATAAAGTTTGACTCAGACCTAAAATATTACTTTTGACAAACGATCCAAAACATCTAAAACAGCATCCAACAAAGGAATAAACACAAATGATGCCCAGATCTGTCTTTTCTTTTGCAATTGTGTAATAAAAAATAAAATAGTTTTATGTTATATCAACAAATTCAAACTTTTCACGAAATATGAAATTTTTTAAATATTTTTTTATGATTATCGCTGGAATGTTTAATTAGTCACATTTACTGTGAGTTAGAACTTGTAGGCATTATAATCTGTGGAATGAGACTCAGCGAGTTTGTATAGAGCATGTTTTAACACTAATCCTGTATGTTTTTTGTTTCAGATTCGCTCTGATAAAGAGAATTTCACAAAGATAATATATGCCATACAAGGTCCTGGTGTTGACCAGGACCCTACGGGTATATTTAGCATTGATAAAGACACTGGCTTTGTGAAAGTCCATGCCATACTGGACCGAGAAGAAAGGGCTCGTTATTTAGTAAGTTCCTTTTTAAAATGTTGCTGTTGAATGAACACTTTTCAAATGAAAAAAGTAAAAAATAACTTTTTTTTTCTTTTAGTTGAAAGGTGTGGCCTTCTTCGCCAATAGGTCTCGGGCTGAAAGAGATCTTGACCTGAAATTTGAAGTTTTGGATATGAATGACAATACACCAATCATCCAAACACAGCAAGTCGGAAATGTCAGTGAAGGCTGCAAAGCAGGTAAGACATGCTACATATTCATGTTTTACGGCTCAAAAACATCTCCTTACTACATTCAGACAACTGCACAATTTGGTCTTTTTAGGCACTGTTGTCATGAAAGTGATCGCGACTGATGCTGATGATCCAAACACTGAAAATGCAAAAATCTTTTACCGAATCGATGAGCGTAGCAATAGAGCTGGGATGTTCTACATCGATGCAAGCACCGGAGAGATCAAAGTTAGCAGTAACAATCTTGATAGGGAGGTAAGTAACTATATGTCACTTGAATGTAGTCAATTACAATAAAAACTTGACATATTTTTTTTAAAGAAATAAAAATTTTATGTCCTTAGATCAAAAATCTTTGCATAAAATATGACTTAGAAAACATTAATCAGTGCATTCCATGTCTTACCATTTTTCTTTTAGACACAAGATGTATATAAGCTGGTTATTTTTGCCTCTGATTTGAATGGAAGAGCAGGAGGAAACATGGGAACTGGTGAAATTACAATTAAAGTTACAGACATAAATGACAATGTTCCATACCTGGAAAAAAATTCGGTAAGCCTCCAGTACTTGGTTGTTTAGCTTGCCTTTATCAGATTATGCTAAAAACGAGTGCTTTTTCTTGTAGTATGAGGCAAGTGTGGAGGAGAACACTGTCGGTGTGGAGGTTTTGAGGTTAAAAGCCTACGATCTGGATGAAGTCAACACAGACAATTGGGCTGCCGTCTACGAGATTGCTTCAGGGAATGAGGCTGGTTATTTCACCATCACAACTGATGCCAAAACCAATGAGGGAGTCATCATGATTAACAAGGTAAAAGCTTTTTTTTTTTTTACTGAATGGCATTTTCTATGAGTAAAAGTTAAAGTTTCATTTAACCATGATTCTATTTTGAATCCACAGGCTGTGGACTACGAGGAACTAAAGACACTGAATTTAGATGTGAGGGTTTCCAACAAAGCAAAGTACAACATGGGCGGCAGTGGAATGACAGGGGCATCAATGCCATCAAAATCGTATCCCATCAAAATAAATGTTGTCAATCAGAAAGAGGGTCCCCGTTTCCAGCCTACTGTTAAAGTGGTGGCCGTTTCAGAGGATAAGTCATCAATCTCTCTCAACAAAGTCATAGCGACCTACACCGCTATCGACAGTGACACTCAACAAACTGCCACCAACGTGAGGTAATGCTCACCACACAGCTGTCACTTGGTTCATATATAGAAAACATAGCATTTCATGGAACACCTTACCAGGGATGCACCGATGGATCGGCATTTGATCCCAATCGGCCGATAGCGCCCCTATCGGTTTTGATCGGAGTTTTCAAAATAGATCAAAGCAGACCGATCAGCAGACCATTTTAGATTAGGTTACATTTCCTTTATTCCCAGATTATGTAGTTTGTAGCACTCATTATAATGTTGTAGAAAATTTCTGGCCAATCCTCGTGATCGGTATCGTGATCAGCATTCTTTGATATCGGTATCGGTGATCGGCAGCAAAAAACCTGATCGGTGCATCCCTACACCTTACCATGGTGGAGGGGTTTGAGTGTCTCAAAGATCCTAGGAGCTAAGTTGAGGTTTTCTGCGTCTGGTAGGGTCACCCATGGCAAACAGGTCTTAGGTGAGGGATCAGACAGAGCAGCCCAAAGACCTCTTATGATGAATTATATAAATGGAAAACGTGTTCCCTCGCCCGAACGTGGGTCACCGGGGCCCCCCTCTGGAGCCAGGCCTGGAGGTGGGGCATGTTGGCCAGGCTTTCACCCATAGAGCCCAGCCGGGCACAGCCAGAAGAGGAAACGTGGGTCTCCCTTCCCATGAGCTCACCACTCGTGCAAGGGGCCAAAGGGGTCGGGTGCAGTGTGTGATGGGTGGTAGTCGAGGACGGGGACCTTGGTGGCCTGATCCTCGGCTACAGAAGCTGGCTCTTGGCACATGGAATGTCACCGCTCTGGTGGGGAAGGAGCCTGAGTTGGTGTGTGAGGTTGAGAGGTTCCGACTGGATATAGTCGGACTCACCTCAATGCATGGCTCTGGCTCTGGAACCAGTTTCCTTGAGAGGGGTTGGACTTTCTACCACTCTGGAGTTGCTCCCACTGAGAGGTGCTGAGCAGGGGTGGGCATACTAGTTGTCCCCCATCTTGGTGCCTGTACGTTGGGGTTTACCCCAGTGAATGAGAGGGTAGCCTCCCTCCGCCTACGTGTGGGGGGACGGGTTCTGACTGGTCTGTGCTTATGCACCAAACTACAGTTCAGACTACCCACCCTTTTTGGAGACCTTGGAGGGGGTGCTGGAAAGCACTCCTTCCGGTGACTCCCTCGTTCTGCTGGGGGACTTTAACGCTAAAATGGGCAACGACAGTGAGACCTGGAGAGGTGTGGTTGGGAGGAACGGCCCCCCGATCTGAATTCGAGTGGTATTTTGTTATTGGACTTCTGTGCCAGTCATGGATTGTCCATAATGAACACCATGTTTAGACATAAAGGTGTCCATATGTGCTCTTGGCACCAGGATACCTTAGGCTGCAGCTCGATGATCAACTTTGTTGTTGTTTCATCTGACCTGCGGCCGCATGTCTTGAACACTCGGGTGAAGAGAGGGGCGGAGCTGTCAACTGACCACTACCTGGTGGTGAGTTGGCTCAGATGGTGGGGGAGGATGCCGGTCAGACCAGGCAGGCCCAAACGTATCGTGAGGGCCTGCTGGGAACGTCTGGCAGTCTTCTGTCAGAAGGAGCTTCAATTCCCACCTCCGACAGAACTTCCAAAATGTTGCGGGGGAGGCGGGGGACATTGAGTCTGAACGGACCCTGTTCCATGCCTCCATTGTTGAGGCGGCCGACCGGAGCTGTGGTCGCAGGATTGTCGGTGCCTGTCGTGGTGGCAACCCCCGAACCCGCTGGTGGACACCAGCGGTTAGGGATGCTGTCAAGCTGAAGAAAGATTCCTATCAGGTCTTTTTGGCCTGTGTGATTCCAGAGGCAGCTGACGGGTACCGGCAGTCCAAGCGGAACGCGGCTCGGGTGGTCGCCAAGGCAAAAACCCGGGCATGGGAGGAGTTCGGTGAGACCATGGAGCAAGACTTCCGTACAGCTTCGAGGAGATTCTGGTCCACCATCCGGCGCCTCGGGGGGAAAGCAGTGCGCTACCAACACTATCTATAGTGGGGACGGTGTGCTGCTGACCTCTACTCAGGACGTTGTGGATCGGTGAGCAGAATACTTCGAAGACCTCCTCGATCCCAACGACACGTCTTCCAGTGAGGAAGCAGAGTCTGGGGACTTTGGGTTGGCCTCTCAAATCTCTGGTGCTGAGGTCACTGAGGTGGTAAAAAAGCTCCTCTGTTGCAAGGCTCCGGGGGTGGATGAGATCCGCCTGGAGTTCCTTAAGGCTCTGGATGTTGTGGGGCTGTGTTGGCTGACGCGACTCTGCAATATCGCGTGGACATTGGGGGCAGTCCCACTGGACTGGCAGACCGGGGTGGTGGTCCCCTTATTTAAAAAGGGAGACCGCAGTGTGTGTTCCAACTACAGGGGGATCAAACTCCTGAGCCTTCCTGGTAAGGTCTATTCAGGGGTTCTGGAGAGGAGGGTCCGTCAGACCTCAGATTCAGGAGGAGCAATGTCGTTTTCGTCCTGGCCGTGGAACACTGGACCAGCTCTATACCCTTAGGGGGATCCTTGAGGGTGCGTCGGAATTTGCCCATCCTTGCCCAACCAGTCTACATGTGTTTTGAGGATTTGGAGAAGGCGTTTGACTGCGTCCCTCCGGGGGCCCTGTGGGGGGTACTCCGGGAGTATGGGGTACCAGGCCCTCAGATAAGGGCTGTTAGGTCCCTTTATGGCCAGTGTCAGAGCTTGGTCCGCATTGCCGGCAGTAAGTCGGGCTCGTTCCCAGTGAGAGTTGGACTCCGCCAAGGCTGCCCTTTGTCACCGATTCTGTTCATAACCTTTATAGTCAGGACTTCTAGGCACAGCCAAGGTGTGGAAGGCATCCGTTTTGGTGGCCTGAGGATCAGGTCTCTGCTTTTTGCAGATGATGTGGTCCTGCTGGCTTCATCAGAACGTGATCTTCAGCTTTCGCTGGAGCGGTTCGCAGCCGAGTGTGAAGTAGCTGGGATGAGAATCAGTTCGTCTAAATCTGAGACCATGGTCTTGATTCGGAAAATGGTAGAATGCCTTCTCCAGGTCAGGGATGAGGTCCTGCCCCAAGTGGAGGAGTTAAATGGGCCATTCCCATCTGTACCGGGTCGGCCCGGGCCGGGTAGCGTAGGTTGTTTACATATCTGGGTGGCCTGGTATTTTTCCGGGCCAACCAAGGCTCATTCTCAGCCCTCTTCTCGAGGGGGTCTGCTTCAGGCCGACCAGGGCCAACACACCCACTGCTGACAGCAAATTCACACCTTCCATTAGAGCAAGCCTCTGATTGGTGGGTAGAATCAGCCCACATGGGCTTAAGACAAGTATGTGTGGAATCAACCGGGCCAGGCTGGGGCCGACTGGGGCTACCCGGCCTGGGCCGACCCGGTACAGATGGGAATGGCCCATAAGTATCTCGGGGTCTTGTTCACGTGTGAGGGAAAACTGGAGTGTGAGATCGATAGGCGGATTGGTGCTATCTACAGTGATGCGGGCGTTGTACCGGTCTGTCGTGGTGAAGAGAGAGCTGAGTCAGAAGGTGAGGCTCTCAATTTACCGGTCGATCTACGTTCCTAACCTCACCTATGGTCACGAGCTTTGGGTAGTGACCGAAAGAACGAGATCGCGGATACAAGCGGCCGGAATGAGTTCTCTCTGAAGAGTGGCTGGGCTCTCCCTTAGAGATAGGGTGAGAAGCTCGGTCATTCGGGAGGGGCTCAGAGTAGACCCACTGCTCCTCCACATCGAAAGGAGCCAGTTGAGGTGGCTCGGGCATCTGGTCAGGATGCCTCCTGGACACCTCCCTGGCGAGGTTTTCTGGGCACGTCCAACCGGGAGGAGGCCTAAAGGTAGACCCAGGACACGGTGGAGGGACTATGTCTCTCACCTGGCCAGGGAACACCTTGGGATCCCCCCGGAGGAGCTGGCCCAAGTGGCTGGGGAGAGGGAAGTCTGGGCCTCTCACCTTAGGCTACTGCCCCCGCGACCCGACTCCGGATAAGCGGATGAAAATGGATGGATGAAGTGTAATAATTTGTCATAATTTGTGTAGAACATGCACCTATGCATTCAGTTTTGAAATGTTATTTTGTCTGCAGGTATTTAAAGCTAAAGGATCAGGACAACTGGTTGTCTATTGATGAAAAGACAGCAGAAATCAAACTGAATAAATTGCCTGACCGAGAGTCCATATACCTAAAAAATGGAACATATTATGCTGAAATTCTATGTATTTCCAATGGTGAGTTCTGCAACATGTTTCACACTCCTGCTGCTTTATAGAGATACAACTGACTCAATTCAGCTTCAACTTTTTGATTTATTTATTTTATTTATTTATTTCAGAAATTCCCTCCAAAACTGCAACTGGGACTATAGCCATTCAGGTGGAGGACTTCAATGATCACTGCCCACAACTCACCAGCACAGTTAAGACCATGTGCTTGGAGGATCGTGTGATTTATGCCACGGCTGTAGATCAGGATGAGTTCCCCAATTCAGCACCTTTTGACTTCAATGTAATTCAAGACGACAGTAAACAGAACTGGGCAGTGGAGGTTCTCAATGGTAAATGTGTTTAATAGCAAGACGTTCTTAGGAACAATTGGTTAAGAAAGTTCATCAATTTTTTAAAATTGCATTTTGCAAATGTCAAAGAGATGACTGAACTGTTTGTGTAAATGTTTCATACATTTTGAATCATCTTTCTTCAGAAACCACCGTGATTCTGCGAGACAAAGGCAAATTGTGGCCAGGCAACTACAAAGTCAAACTGGAGATTAAGGACCAGCAGGGAAAGTCTTGCGACGATCTCCAGATAGTAGATTTAGTGGTGTGTTCATGCGATAAGGACACCAAATCCTGTGTGGCGCGCAGGAAAGGTTCTGCCGTTTTTGGAGCTGCTGGCATCTTGCTCCTGCTGCTTGGACTGCTGCTTCTCCTGTGTAAGTAGAGCAGATAATGTTTGATGGTCTTTTCCATTTTTCCCCCAATTGTTTTTATTTTTATTTTTTTTAAATGAGATGCTTTACCTTAGCTTCATAAAGTTGCCCAATGGAGCAAGTTGTAGCCTGTAAAAAGGGTGGGCCATGCAAGCTTGGGAAGAGAAATGTGATGATTACTGTAAACACTACACAATCACTTGCTTTTTCCTTCTTAGGAATCAAATTAATCAGTTAAAGAAGCTAAATGTCAGAAATGCAATTTCCAGTTAAATACAAAACTTGATTTATTCAGGTTAATTAATACTTCTCTTTTTTTGCAGTGATTCCCCTTCTTCTGCTGTTGTGTCTGTGTGGAAATGTAGCAAGCGATTTCAAGGCTATCCCCTATGAAGCAAGAGAACATCTCATCTCATACCAGACAGAAGGACAGGGAGAAGACAGGGTATGTACTTATTTACAGATAAAATGTGTTTAAAATGGAAATAAAAGTGAAAATGCTCAGTTTATAATTGTAAATTGTTTCCTTGGAAAACACAGGCTGTACCTATGTTACCCATCCCGGTGATTGTTGAAAATGGCAATATGAGCACAAAGGACATTCTCGTGTCAGGGAGAAATGGATATCTATCAAATGTGGTTGAAACAGATAGAGGTGTAGGAGGAGCTATGGGTGGAGGAGCGACCATGACGGCGGAGGAGATGCACATGTACAACCAATACAGATACGGGCAGGAGAAGGTGGGAATGATGGGTTCAGTGCTGATGGGAGCAGGAAAAGGAATGGAGATCTCTAAATACAAATTTGATGGCTTAAACGAGATGGCTTTGCCGGATCATTATCTGGGGGAGTACCTTTCAAATGTGAGTAAATACCTAGGTTGTATTCACTAATATAGAAAGATGGGTTGAAATTAAATTATAAAATGTATAACTTTCTTTTTTTTTCCAGAAATTGGGCAGTATGGAACAGTATAAGGAGAAGGAAAATTCTCTGGCTTACAACTACGAGGGTCAAGAATCGCCGGCAGGTTCCGTAGGCTGCTGCAGCCTCCTTGAAAATAATTACGACCTTGCATTCCTTGATGACCTGGGGCCAAAATTCAAAACCTTGGCTGAAATCTGTAATGGAGGAACCTTCACCAGCAACTCGGTGACTGTTGAAGTTTCAAAGCCTCCAGTTAAAACCATACCTCCAGTTATGCCCTCCGCCTCAACCCACACTCACGTTCACACTCACACTGAAACCGTCAGAGAAAGGGACCGCGTTAACACGCTCGGTGCCTCCAAAGTAGCATCTGAGTCGTCTACAATCGTCCAAGAGCAGAGAGTCACTGACAGGTCCCAAGGTTTCACAACTCTTCCAAAAGTACAAGTTCAAGAAAACGTGATCATCCCTAACCAAACGCTGCTCATACAGCAGCCCACCATGTATTATGCTGCTACGCCTATGTATGTAGTTGAGTCTAATCCCCAGATGGTGCTTGTGTCAGGAGCTCAGCAGGCAGTTGGTCAGGTGAGCCAAGCTGGGCTCAGTCAGGGGATAGTGCAGGTTGGTGGCCTCCAAGGCTCTCAGGGTGTGGTCCTTGTTGAAGGACAGGTTGGAATGGGTGGAGCAACTAGTCAGATAGCTATGAGTGGAACAACAGCAAGGCAGGTAGTTCTGGGTGGAGCAACAAGTCAGGTACCTATGAGTGGAACAACAAGGCAGGTAGTTCTGGGTGGAGCAACAAGTCAGGTACCTATGGGGGGAACAGCAACAAGACAGGTAGCTGTGGGTGGAGTGAAAGGACAAAAAGTACAGGGCGTCTCGCAGGGAGTTGTCTCCGAGTCTAGTCAAGTGCTGTTGGTGGAGAATGGATCTGCTGGAGGAAGTCAGAGCACTAATTTAGTGCAGGGCTTTGGTCAAACAGGTCTGGGCTCTCTAGAGGCTGGTTTTGACAAGAGGGGTAAAGGTGTGCAGTTGCAATCTTTTTCCACGAGTTCACGTGGTTCAGCAGGCTCAAAGGAGGACTTTCCACTCATGACCACACCCAAAGCTCAGGGAAGCCCGAGGGTGGTTGTGCAGCATAAAAAAGTCACCGTCACTGAGACTAACACGCGTGCCTGATTGACACATCATGATGTATATATTTGTTGAGTGAAATGCACTGTTGTACAAATGTTCTTGCAAATAGATTTGGGGTTTAAAAGAAAATATGAAGATCTGAACTGCTTGACCTGAAGCTTTACTCTGTCTACTGTTATGTTGAGATACGTGTACATGATATCTGTTCTACATTAATGATAATGATGGCTAAATTTATTGAGGAAAAAAATGTTTTTTAGGGAAAATGAGTGAACTATTATTTACACACGATGCTTTTATTTCTAGAACTAAAAATGTACAAAACATCTCAACTAAAAATTGCTTCCCAACTTATAGTTTCTATTTAGACATTCTATAAGTTCTGATTCTGTTTTAACCAAAGATTAGTAACTTCCTGTTTTTTGTAACGTCAAACCTGCTGAGCAGCTGTAATCAGTGGGTTTACATGCACATCAGAAAACTGAACTATTGCCCCAAATAGATTGATGCTATTTTAAACCCATGTAAACGCGTTAGTCTTGCTGAAGGTAAACTGGTTGTAATTGTGCTGAAGCACCCAGTTAATGCAGTAGAAAACCTTCATATGCATGTAAGCGGCTGAGTCGTGCTGATACCGGTAACTTCTGGAAATGACACGACTGTGCAAGCAGACTTCTAATATCATTACCACAATGTAACAAGTGTTGCACCATCAAACAGAGTACGTACCAAATAAGCTTTGCTGCAGCATCGTTGTCCATTCCTTCGGTTGTTGTGCATGTTAATAACTCCATCTGCTTCACTCCCATCCGCAATTGTTTACTATTTGTGTTGCTTTAAGCTATCTGGAAGAATGTCAAATTGAAAGTGCACATATCGCCACCTACTGAACCGGAGTGGAACAAACGGTTTGAATTCAGTTAGATGAAGCCTCCTGGTTTATTACTTTAGATCCACCTAGGTCGACTTAGATGCACATGTAAATGAACACTGATTCATTTTTTTTCTACCTGAAGGTCATTCTAACCTCTAAACAAATATATTTATTTTACTTTGCCATTAAAGTATCTCAAACAGCCTACTTAATTGTAATTTCTACCTATTTTTTTCTTGCCTGTATTTAAAAGTAAAGTGCCAAATCCCTAGAAGGTGTTTGTAATAGTAGATTTTGTGCTAGTATTGCTATTTGGCATGTGTTCAGTTTAAGTATATATTTCTTTAGTTTTTTATATAAAATCAGCACATTTAAGGTAATTTGGGTTGTCAGAATAATCGAGGCTATCATTGCTAAACACTGAAAATATTTGTTGGGGTCTTTTAGTTTCAAACTACTGCGTTTGCCACTGATAAAGTCGTGTTTTATTTGTCATGTTGGAATATAGCAGCAGTACTAAAGCAGCTTGATACTGAATGTTTTTCTATTTTTACGATTTGCACCTGCTTTTAAGACAAGAAAAATAAAATAGAAATTGCTTATTGGTTTTACATGTTTTGCATACGGCAGAGTTTATCTTGCACGATTATATAAAAATTTGTTTCATGTTCTCTTAACAACACAATGGATGTTTCTTTGTAGACATGATTGTGAGTTCATGTGGGAATTACACAGTATTGAAGGATTTGGATGGCAGAGAAATTGTGTTTGTGTTCTGTTTGTTTTTAATAAAAACATTTCTTGCATGTTGTCTTCACTTTTTTCTTGATTTTTTTTGTTTTTGCTCCATGTTTTAAAATATTGATAACAAAATCTACTTATAATTGCTGATGACCTATTTTTTCCTGCTTATTTTAAATGTGTTTAGATATTAAAAAAATTAAAGCTGTTGGTGTTTTTAAGGAGAAATTGCAGCAGGCTACAGAGGAGAAGGGCTTCAAACAGTGTTGCTCAGCATGGTTCACATTTCAAGTTCATCCAAGCAAACAGTAGCATTCCTGTGCAGAACAATGGTTTGCTCTGTGTGATCGCATGCTCCAAAAAGAGTCTGAAGCTAAGAAGGAAGTCCGGTCTAGCTAAAGAATTGCAATCAAAATAATTTAAATGTGATGGCTGTTAGAAAATGCTGCCTGCAGGTTTGCTTATGTTTATAATTTAAAGTCACCCGCTGTTGAAAAGCTATCTATTAAATCATGAAGTGGATTCCTAAATGTGTGTTTTAATCTCAAAACTTCTGCGATGACCAAAGAGCAACTATAAGGGCCGTAGTCCAAACAAGATTACATCTCAAGCTTAAGTTGTCAGACTGGCAACTTCCTGTCTAGTCTAGAATCAAACCTGCTTAACAGCTGTTACAAAGAAGCTTGTTTATTTTACCTGTAGACAGGCTTTTACCTGTGGTCAAACTTATCTTTGTTATGAATTTGTTTGTCTAACTTCCTCAAATTGAAATGAATAAATAAGTAAAATGCATCCAAACAAAAGGAAAAAATTATCCCCCTGACAGAAACCCAGATTATACTCCTGCACTGAAGAGCTTGTTTACGCCCACATACCAGAAGGACAGTTGGGCCCTTCCTCTGCCCTCAACAAAGCCTAACTTTTCTGTTTTTGCTTTGCTCTGGAAGTTTAGTCCTGCGGCCATCATTCATCTCAAAGCACATGTTTCTCATCAGCTGTCAGACTAAAAAAAATCCTGCTTTCTCAGGGTGTGGCACATGCAGACCACATTTCAGAAAGAACCGTAGATATCTTAACTTTTATCTCGACGAATGACAGACATTGCGACATGTTTTGGTGTGACGGTGCTTCACAAGCGTATCACTTTTATTCTTCCTCTAAAAGAGTCCCATTGTTCTCTTAATAATTGTCCGTTTTTGAACTTGTGTCACTTTCACCTTTCCTTCTGTAAGGAGTCAGTTGCTGCCCCTCCCTGGTTGTTTTATGTGCATCAGGTAGTGGCTCGAAAAATTATGCAATCAGTCAAGATGTCACAATGCATGTCTTCGTTTAGACAAAATATTTCTGCAAGCTCAAACTCTGCAAGAATGTTTTGAGTGTTGCATCAGTAACTGGTAGCTGTTAATCATTCCTAGGTTAAGTTTGGTAATGACAGAGCAGAGTGCATATTTCACCACATCTCAGTAAAGTAAAGGAGGAGTCTGTCAATGTGCAAAATGTGTTTATGGTTGAGAAGACCAAAAATATATACTTCGACTCAACTTTGTGGTCATTTCTGCACTCAGTTTCAGGACGTAAATGATCAAAAATTGCCCTAAAACATAGAGTTTTAGAAAATGATGAGAAAAGCTGTAGACATTTTTGGAAAGTGTACATAAAATGAATTGAGAAAAAAGCTATCTTTTGTAAAAGCTATTTAGCAAAAGGACAAGTTAAACTCTACATTGCTAACATCCTGTTTTTAGGGCACAGCTGTTGGAGAAGAAAGAAGTTTTCTAGGGGGCACTGTGGAGCTAGATTTATACACCAAGTCTGAAAACCCTTAAACCCATAAAATATATTTATTTGGCACAATAATAATAATAATAATAATTATTATTATTTTTATTATATACATTTTGGGTACGCCTTGACCTCAACTTTGTTGTTTGGGCCTAACAAGTCAAGCTGCAATGAATGGCCCTCATCTGAGCTCCCAAAAATGACAAATGAAACCTCCATCAAAATTTGCTGAAGTAATTTCTTGAATACGTATTTCTGTATTAATTTTTGCTTTTTAAACATAAACCAGTTGCCAGTTTAATGAAAATTCCAATGGTTCTCCAATGCATAAAATTCACACTCTCCATTGGAGCCCCTTTCCACAGCATGAAGACCCCATGATGTATAACTATCAACCTGAACATGAAGGATTTTGCAGGGTCTCGTTCCAGGATGTGAGGCCTGTGTCGGCTTGGTCATCAAAAAAGTAAGACTGGCAGGATTAGAGGCTCTTCAGATTTGTTGTAATTCAGCCACACACCTGTAGTTTGTTAAGAATATATTCTAGAGAATTAGAAGATTTTCACACCTACATTGTTTAGTTCTTTTAAACGTAACCCTGGTTTAGCGTCTTTTTTGCAGTTATTCAGCGTTTTAAGATGTGAACACGGTAAGTTCACCAGGATGCATAGCAAAGCAAACATATTGAGAACCTTTGGAGGAGTGTTTGTTAATAGTAGAAGCTCGGACCATCTTTGATTTGACAAAACTACCAGGTTTATGCTACAAGTTTAAGCATAACACCTTCTCGAAGCCACCTTCTTTGCATTCTGTGAAGTGGTAGAGTACACATAACTACTAGCTAACTATAAGTTAATAGAAAGCTCACATGAATGAACAACATAATATATTTTACCTCCTAAAAGCACTTGAGTTCAAACTGTTCATTAAGCAGCAAATGGAGAGGTGGTTTACCATGTTTTAAACGGGCTCAGGCTAATTCCTGTTTTTATGTCTGGTAGAGCCATCCAAGATGGATCTGACCAATAAGTAGACTGAGGGTCAAGCTTGCGGTACAGAGCCGGTCCAGTTTCTTTCAAAGCTGGCAACACTAAATTTGGGAGTATTAGCATTAGCATTAGCTTTCCATTGCATCCACAGACATTAGCTCTGTTGCTTAAACTTGCTGGAACAGTGGCATCAGTCAACAGTCACCAAAGAAAAGTCCATCAACATTCAGCAGACCATAAAGGTGATCTGAAAGTTAAATAAACAGCATGATGATGTGTCCTTTTTCAACAGTTGAATCAAAACACAAAAGAAATGTTGGTCCCATAACATTAAATGACTTTAAAGTTTGATTCTTTGACCATGTTATTTAGTTCTAATATTTCATTTAAAAAAGAAACTTGACATGAAGCCTAATTTTTGTAATTTTAATTGAATTTACAAATCATGGAGGCACGGTGAAGCAAATTCTACAAAACCTTTTATAAGAACAAGCCTTTCTGTACTTTTTCTGATACGAGCAAAGCACGACTGAGAAACAAAATGAAATAGCTCTTGCATATTTCAGGTTTTAACACCCTTTATTAGCTTTGTCAGTTAAAGCAATGGTTAAGAGCAGCATTATTTAAGCTAAACAACAAAATGTCACCAGGATGTGCATGTTTCATTGAATTTCTGGATTGCTAGCTTACTTCACATCGTCTCACTGGCCTTTCCTAGAAATTAGATACTCTAAAATTAGTTTAATGTTACGTCTATGTTTTATAATCAGTGGCGGACATCATGTCGAACGTCCTCTTCATCTTCCATTTCATCCTCTTCGTATTCTCCTATTTCATCCGCTGTTGCATCCTGGTACTGTTGGTACTCAGAGACCAGGTCATTCATGTTGCTTTCAGCCTCGGTGAACTCCATCTCATCCATCCCCTCTCCAGTGTACCAGTGGAGAAAGGCCTTGCGGCGAAACATGGCGGTGAACTGCTCAGATATTCTCCTGAACAGTTCTTGGATTGCCGTGCTGTTCCCGATGAAGGTGGCAGACATCTTTAAGCCTCGCGGTGGGATGTCACAGACGGCGGTCTTGACGTTGTTGGGAATCCATTCCACAAAGTAGCTACTGTTCTTGTTCTGAACGCTCAGCATCTGCTCGTCCACTTCCTTCATTGACATGCGGCCACGAAAGATGGCCGCCACCGTGAGGTAGCGTCCGTGGCGGGGGTCGCATGCTGCCATCATGTTCTTGGCGTCAAACATTTGCTGTGTGAGCTCTGGAACAGAGAGGGCACGATACTGCTGGCTGCCCCTGCTTGTAAGAGGAGCAAAGCCCGGCATGAAGAAATGCAAGCGAGGGAAGGGAACCATGTTGACAGCCAGCTTACGGAGATCAGCGTTGAGCTGGCCAGGGAAGCGGAGGCAGGTGGTCACCCCACTCATGGTGGCCGACACCAGGTGGTTGAGGTCTCCGTAGGTTGGTGTGGTTAGCTTCAGCGTGCGGAAGCAGATATCATACAGGGCCTCATTGTCAATACTGAAGGTCTCATCTGTGTTTTCTACCAGCTGGTGGACGGAGAGGGTGGCATTGTACGGCTCCACCACAGTGTCTGAGACTTTGGGTGAGGGCATGACGCTAAAGGTGTTCATAATGCGATCGGGATACTCCTCACGAATCTTGCTGATGAGCAACGTGCCCATCCCTGAACCTGTGCCTCCACCCAAGGAGTGGGTGAGCTGGAAACCCTGAAGGCAGTCACAGTTCTCAGACTCCTTTCTCACGACATCCAGGACTGAGTCCACTAGCTCGGCTCCCTCTGTGTAGTGCCCCTTGGCCCAGTTATTTCCTGCCCCGCTTTGACCTGCAAAAGAGTTCGACCAAATGGATTTAGGAGGCTTTAAAGGAAGACAGGCTAATCAAACCCATCTTTACCGTTGAAGACATCCATAAAAGCTCAAGAGACTGTGGCATTAAATAACCAAATCTTAATCGGTAAGCATTTGCATTGCATATGTTGCAGCCACAACAAGATTCTGGTAGTCGGTATAGTAGATAATAATCATGAAAACATCTCAGAATTCACGGTGCTCTACCTAAAAAGCTCCAGTTAAAGGATGTGTTGAGACCTTTACATAGAAATAAACAAAAGTCACTAAAAGACTGACCTCGGAGAACTCTGCTGAGAAGACTAGATACTCCAGCTGAACTAGAAGTGCTTTAAAGTAAGGATTGATGAAAATCTTCAAAAGTCATCAAAAGGTACAGATGAACATAAAAAAACCAACTTTCCACATCTCTTTAATGTTGATTTCAACATGACCCTTCATCCAATAATGCCAGTCATTAGTCATTAAAATGTCTGATTCTCTAACATAAACTTGGAAGATTTTCAAAATTTTTATAGTTAAAATTAAGTAATGCTTGATGATTAAGAAGCAGAAAATAAAAGCAGCAAAAAGCAATGCAATGCGTTCTGTAATTGCCACATTGACTCCAGACCTGGATGACCAGTTTTCCTTGGGCTCAGCACTGGTATTAGAACGACCTAAACAGGTGAGGTCATATCCCCATAACATGTGGGAAAGTGCATTTATTTGGACTGTCTGTATAATTCTGCATAGTTACAGGATATAGATGCTGTGGTTGTACAAATATTTGTGTTTTAAGGATCTGATATATGATTATTGTCTGATCAAATCCATTTTTGGTATGAAATATTAACCCTCTCATTAATTTCCGGCAGGGCTCCAAATACTTACAAGCTCCCCTGGGTGTGTTGTTGAGGCCTTCTGGGGCAGCCCATCACCCTTTTGGGGGAGCCTTGCTCCCCGTGGCTCCCCCGTAATTTGAACCCTGGTTTTTGGGAGTAGCATTAGAGCTAGCTTTAACGGTTATTCAGACTGTTTGTTCAAAACATGATTTTAAAATTTGTCTTTGACTGTAATTGATCTTTGATATGATGTTCAAGTGCAAATGATCTACATAATGCTGTGTTTATCCTGTAATTGAAATGCGTTCCATTGTTGTAGCTTGTATGTCAACACAGAACAACACAGATGAAGCTAACATTATATTTAATGTTAATCCTGGGTCAAAAACATATCCATTTGGGACTGAAGTTATGATTAAAAATCGTACATTAGCATGTTACTATATGAAAACACCTTCGCTGTGTTCAAAACACAAGAAGAACAGCAAAGTCTCGTCACTGTGAGCAAAAAAATTACTTTACACATGTCATAATTTTTTATTGCTATATTTGAAAATTATTTGGCAATTGCATTATTTGCTGGTTCCGATGATTTATTACTTAATTGTTGACACCTAAAGAAATTAGGCAGAGGAACTAACTTCTTGGCCAACTTGGCTACATTTACTTTCAGCGTGCTTCTACACAAATCATACATTCATGTTTTCTGGAGGGGAGATTATATTTATTAAGGTCTCCAGGCACATCAGAGTCAGAGCTGCTGCCTGTAGACAGAGCATCCCATAATAGTGACATATTAGTTAGATGCTTCAGAAGCGGTGTATTATTACATTACAGAGATGTGTGGGGCTGTCTGGTGAATCTAAGGAACTGATTTACAGGATGTGACAGCAGCTGCTGACTTAATGCTGCATGTGCAGCCGGTTCAAGATGAGTGATTGCATTTAGATTAACCCCCCACCCCCACCCTCCCTCACCAAAGACAAAGTTGTCAGGTCTGAAGAGTTGTCCAAATGGCCCAGAGCGTACAGAATCCATGGTCCCAGGCTCCAGATCCAACAGGATGGCACGTGGGACATATTTGCTGCCTTTACAGAAAAGAGAAGAAAAATTATGAATGCATTTATTTATTTCATTTTCTTGCATTGCATTTTAAAAGTAAATCCTGTCAAGACAGTTTATTTTTTTAAGAACTTTTATCTTCTTGATTCAGTGGGGCTGTCACTTCTTGCAAGCAAATTGCTGCAGCATGCTGTGCTGCTTCTTCAGGACCAGGGGGCTTTTCAATGTGCTGATCTCTGCAGAGTGAATTCAGACAAACGTTCAGCAGTCCTCTTCACTGCTGAACTAAATGTTGCAAAACCCTAATAATCTATCTTATTTTAGGCATTTATATGCTCTTTTCCCCATGCGTTCAAAACAAACGGATCAGCATGCACGCCAAGGATAAACAAGACAGCTGTGTTTAATTTCATTGCAAGGCGTAAATGAGATGTTTGATTTGTCTAAATCCTGAATTATGAAAACCAAAAATTGCAACTTCAATCTCCAATTAGAAGCAGAACATAAAAGAAAGATGCATTTGGAACTAAACATGCCATGCACATCCAAAGATACTTGAGGAAAATTGCTTGAAGTCAGCAGAGACTGCAGATACCTGTGCTCCCTAAAGAGAGAGAGAGAGAGAGAGAGAGAGAGAGAGAGAGAGAGAGAGAGAGAGAGAGAGAGAGAGAGAGAGAGAGAGAGAGAGAGATTTTAGCAAGCTCATTGTCCTATTTTTACCATTTTTTAAAATATTGCTCAACTAAAATATGGAAATGTTGTATTTATCCGAGTTATGTGCAGCTAAAAGCATGCAATGATCGTGTCAACAGTGTTGGATGCAAAACAGGCTTTGTTACCTGACGCCTCATTGTAGTAGACGTTTATCCTCTCCAGCTGCAGATCACTGTCACCTTGGTAGCTGCCGGTAGGGTCAATGCCGTGTTCATCGCTTATCACCTCCCAGAACTAACATGAGACAAATATTTGTAGGATTGTCTGTTTGGGAGCGATTTAAAGAACATGCACGATCAGAAAACGATGTTGGAGCATGTGCGTCAGCTTTTGGACTCAGCTGGGGGCCACACCGCTGCAGCCGCTGGACCATGACGAACTGAACCCCACCCTTCAACACAGCTGCTTCAGCAGTTTTAAACTTTTTTTTAATGATTTTAACGACTTGACTTTGTCAACTGTTAATAAAGTCAAACACGCAGTTTTACCCCATATAAAGAATAGTAATCATAATAATAATCTACCTTCGCCCCGATCTGATTTCCACACTGTCCAGCCTGGATGTGAACGATTTCCCTCATGCTGAGCTGCAGATGCGGACTCGGTGTTTCCTTTTCTCGTTCCGTCGGTTTGTTGTTGTCTCTCTCAGATTCAGCACTTGTTTAATTTCAGTGGAGTGCCGGTGAAATAGCAGGATGGACGCACTGCTGATCGGATGACGCGAAGCGCGTCGCAGCATCCGCTCCAGCCAATAGGAGCTGTCCGGTTTGATGCAGTATAGCGGAGGATCCTGCCGCATCACCCACCCACCCCTGCACCCCGTGACACCACCCTGTCCCAAACATGGAAAATTTCGCCTCTTTTTGCAGGATCGAGACTGTTCTGCACATGATCAGTACAATGTCAAACAAATCAGTCTGGATGATGACACAAGCAAATAAATACATTTTCATTAACATGTCTAAACAAAAATCATCACAAAACATGTAATCTCCACAAATAACGACGGATTTTATTTATTATTCAACAATTTTTGCAGCTTTCTGGCACAAAGTTTGTAGTCTGACTTGCCTGCATTGTTTTATTTTTGTATTTACTCAAAAATAAATTTTTGCATTTAAATATTTGCTTTTTGCCCAAATAAAAGACCAAAAACAATAAAGTATCAGAGTCTGGACATTTGTTAGCCCCTTTGTTTAATTGGTTCTGTGATAAATTCAGTGACATATGAACAAAAAACATCACTCGTCTTCACTCAATAGGTCCATCTGGTACAGCAATGAGCTGATTTTGAATATATTTGATCATTTTCTGCTCTGCTTGGTTGATAATCAGTTCTTAGCTGCAAATGCAATAATTTACAAGAAAAATACTTATTTTTCATGAGATCAAGATCTTTAATATCTCAAAAGAAAAAAAAACGGCTAAATATTCAACAGATCCCTCAGAGCCAGCTTCATCAATAAATAATGGTTTATTTTAACAACAGGTATGGCTTATATACAAGTGCAATATGCCTGTTAAAATAACAAAATGAAACCAAACAAGTGTACAATCCATGGTTGTTACATTCATTCAAATCTGCACGGCTGAGAGAAAGCAAAACCTGAAATGTGTGCAGCGTTTCTGCCCCCTCTCCAAAACTAGCTCCACCAGTCTGTGCTAGGATTTCTGATCCTTCATTTTTTTTAAACCCTCAACTTGTCTTTCCCCTCCGCAAAACACAAATGTCTGTCAATCTACCCTGTCGCTGGTGGTAATGTAGCATTTATGAAAAATTTTTATATCTAAATTGAGAGCATGGATGAGATGTGGCCCCTCCAGCGCTGAAATAGCTGTGTGGCAGAAGGTGAAGTAACAGTTCTCAGAGGAGACACTAAATGTGTGCTTGGTCACAGATCTTGCACGAGGTGTTGAACAAACACAGCTTCAATGCTCACGTACACACACTGAGACAAACACTAACACTTGCAATAGCACGCTCATTTGACTGATTCCTTACGAACATTACTAACACCCTCCCTGTCACGGGATTCTGTTGCAGAAGAGAACGAGTCACTACCTTTTAGATAAACTACTAAATCCCAAATGATTTTCCCTTTTTTTATCATTTTTCCACATAAAAACACCAATTATAACACCTAATGATTGCTGTTCGTTGTGCTTTGATGTGCAGCAAGCTTGGGCGCAGCATTTACGTATAGCACTAAACCATCGATTACATTTAATAATAGTGGCAGTTTGTGGCACATATACAACCAAAAGTGAACAGTTTTATCCATTTTGCATTTGAGAAACACATGAATCCATAAAATATCCTAAAAGATGTAGCAGTGTTTTAGTGTGCAGACTTAATTTTGGAGTATATTTCATCTGATTGCAGAACATTAAATGTGTTTGACACCTGAACGACACACTGATGGATGACCAGTACTCCCTGGACATATGAGTTTTATCACATTTGGAAAGACAAGATGTCATTCAGTGGTCTCTGAGTTTTATAAAGTACAAAATTATTATTACTGATGATTATTGTGAGGCTTGCTGTAGACGGTGGCTAATTCATAATCACGTGTCCTTCTTTTGGCAAACATTAAACTTCAAAAGTTTCACATCTGTCAAGTAATACCTGTGTTTTAAAGTGAGGTTTGGTGGAAATGTCAGGAACGATTATCTTACCTGCTGTAGAGAGCTGCTGGAATAACCGAAATACGTTTGGATTAACAGATTAGCTCCAACTAGACTGACAAGCAAACCCATCAATGAAGATTCTCATAGCAGTTCATGGAAATTAGTGTTTTAGATCACGTTCCTAAAGGTGTGAAACCACCAGGGGAGTTGAGTGATTGTTCTAGAACAATTTATGAGCCTGGAACTTCTAACCCATGATCAGAACTGAAGAAGCATTTTGTATGAAAGGTGAAATGTCTTCAAGATGCAAGAAAATGATTTGTTTTAAACTTTTAGGGCTGTTATGCCCTGGATGAATGGTAATCTGGAAAGGTGGGAATAGCTGCTGCAGACCTGGACGCCAACAGGGCAAAGGCTAATGATAAAGCGTTTGCTTCAACTGTAATACATTTTTACGACTGAGTTTACTTTGAAGTTTTAAGGCATGTCAGTGCAATCAAGGCTAATCTACTTCTCCAAACTGAGGTTGTTGAGTTATCTACAACAGGTAAGCTGATATTAGGTCATAACGTTTTCCTACAGAACACCGCTTCAAAAACAAATCTGAACCACCCCTTTAAGTCAAGTATACTGATGTCCATAAATGGACACAGGCTTTGGAAGAGAAAGTGCTTCCTTATTAAAAAATAAAAATAGAAAAAAGATACTAAGTTAATTTTTTTAAATGTCATGTATTGCAATTTTTTAAACAGATGGGATTAGGTGTGTTAGTGTGTCTGTCTAAATAAAAGCACAGACGTTAACTGTCAATGTCAGAAGATGATCTGGAAAACACTCATAATTAGGGATGATTGGAAATTGCATCAAACATTTTTGGAGTCCATGGATTACACTTCAAAAACATTTTTTTTCATGTTTTTTTATAGTTTTGACACATTCACAAACTTTTTTTTCATGCTTTTTGTCCTCACCACACACGATAATGTGGCACCGCGACGAGGTGTCACAAATACTGTAAGAAATAGTTCTGTACAATAAGGGCACGCCATAGGAGAGTGTCAAAAATAATACTTTGAGTTTAAAAACAAAACTGAGTCCAGTTGCACAACTAGTTTACCATTTACTCTTTTTCTTTTACAATTGCATACCATAGCTTTCATTGGCTGAAACGATTGTAAAATAAACATTTTCTGCTTAAGAAATGTGCTAACAAAAGCAGTTCAGCCCACATTCATAGGAAATCAGATTGCAAAACAGCTTTTCTCTTGAATTCATTTTCCATATTAAATAATAATCTTGAGTTAGAGAATGAGAAGTTACGTCACGCCGGATTGCATGTTGGGACAGGAGTGCCTCGTTTCCATGCCGACTGGTTTTGGTGCCAGCTTAGCTCCAGTTCGGTTGGAAAATAATGGGTTGGAGGATGAAAACGGACCAATAGAGACAAATTCATTTGAAATAAAGTCAAACTGAAATTGTTACACAAATAAACACATTATGATCACTGACAATATGAAATGGGGTTTTTTCTTCTTTAGAAATAGAAACATCAGAAATTGAATTAAACCTAACTTTAGAAGCTGGAGTTTAATAGTTTTATACTTACAAAAATTTGGCACAAATACCCAAAATTCAATGTGACGTGACGTCAGCTTCCCGTCCTCCATGGCTTTCCCCAGAAAGATGCTTCTAATGTTTTGGCACTACATCTACGGGACGGTTTTGGTTAGGGTAGTTTTTGGTTTGAGTTTGAATAAGGAAACAAAAATCCACCAATTTGAATCGTTTATCTTCACAACAAGAAGTCCGTTTGTAACATTCAGGTGTTTTTTTTTGTCCATTTAGATAAGGCGACATTGTTTTTGTACAAATATGAACATTTTATTGAAGCAAAAGTAGCAACGTTTCTGTATTTGACTATTTGCGATAATTTCATTCCTTCTCCAGTGCTGATGACATTTCTCAGTGATCAAAGGTAACAACTGTGATTTCCCCTTTTCTTTCAAGTCGGTGGTTTTTTTTGGACGCTGGTGATTTCCAGTGACATTCCTGAAAAGTCGAACTTATCATCACAAACCAGCCGGTGGAATACGCTCACTCTCGTGGTCTCGTTTGTTGGCTAAACGGCACAAAGAGGGGAGGAAGTTGGAAGGGGCACTGAGAAACACAAAGCAGCTCTCTAAGGTAAGTCTACTCGACCCCAGGTACCTGAAGTCAGAGCAGGGGAGTTCTCACCCCCGTCTCCCTTCCTCCTGTGTTACAGACGTGACTGGCGACCACCTGGTGCAACACTTAAAGCTTCATTTCTTGGCTGCAACACAGAATCATGTGGACTCTGTGCTGTTGACAGTGTTGTTTTCTGTGCTGACCGCCTCCTCGTCCCTGACGGGGAGAAATCCAGAGTCTATGGGGGAGGACACGGTGCAGTCTATTAAAGAGGCGGGAGCTGCTTCTGTCAGGCCTGAGTCAGCATTAGAACTTGAATCCAAGCCCAGAGAAACAGCTGAATCTGGCATACTGTCTGTGATGTTCAGGGACGTTGATTCTGGAGTTGATGTCTGCACAATGTCTGTGACGGGGAGAATGGGGAGAAACGCTGTCGGGGTGGAAGAGTCTGCCGAGGGCATGCTGACTGAGTCAACAGGTGGGGGAGGCGTGAGTCTTGCTGAATAATCGCCTGAACAAGGGGGAGGAGAGGGACGAGGAGATGAATCGTTATCACTGTTGGAGGCTAAATCTAAATTAGGTGGATGAGAGTCTCTATTGGAAGAAGAGCCATCAGAGTTTCCTAAAGGAGGTGGACTATCAGTCTGTGGAATGGTTGTGGGAACAGAAATGACCGAGTCTGCTACAGGAACAGGAGAGGGGACTGGGGATGGAGGAAGGCTATCATGCAAAGGTGGAGAAGGGGAGTCTGGTATGTTAGCATCTTCTGTTGGAGCTGGATGACACTTTGTGATGATCGCATGATGATCCTGCAGGTCTGGAGACTCCAGCGTGGAGCTAGGAGGTGGCTCAATGATGGGGGTTGTGCAAATCACCAAAGAAGCAGGTGCAGTTCTTGGTGTAAGAGGGGGAGAGGAGTCCAGGGAAGCAACCGGGCCTGAGTTGTTTTCACTCGTCAGGGAAGGAACTGCATCATTTATTTCAAGAGGTTTACAGTCCATCTGTGGTTCAGCTGAGTCGAGGACTGCAGAAAGTTCTTCTGCATCAGCTAGAAGAGGATCTGTGATGCATGGGGGGTTGTGTATGGGACTGGAAGACAAAATGTGCTCCTTTTTGGCAGGGATGAAGCCATCCTTACTCAGTGCTGTTGCAGAGGCCAGGGATGGAGATGAAATTGTGTGACCGTTGGGGTCTTGAGTCTCAAGGTGTTGTTCCTTCACGTGGGTGGGAGCGGACACCTCTCCAGCCATCGGAACGGTCAAATCAACAGCCGAAGAGGCGGTGGACTCCATGGTGGACGCGGCGATGTTGGCCGCCTCGTGAAGCGGCGTGTCATGGACTCTGGTGTAGTCCCTGGTGCTGTCAGACTGGGTGAGCAGCAGGCGCTTTTCTCCCGGCTTCCTCGGGTGCAGCAACGGCTGACGGGTGTAGTTTTCACCATCTGCTAACGTCTCAGGGAGAGGCTGGTAGCGCGTCTCTGGCAACAGGAGAATGCAGATGATGCAAATCAGAGTGCAGCAGGCAAAGATGATGTGGTGAAGAAAATAGCCTTTCTGATTGTGCAGCTCCATGATGGGTTCAGTGAGCATGCCGAAACCAGCGCAGGCCAGAACCAGGCCAACACCACCACCCCTAGAGTAAAAAACAGAATATGATGTCACTGGGTATCGATCTCGACTGCCGATTTTACATTTCTACATTTAAAAGAATTAATAGTCATCCGATTCGTTGTAATGAGCAGCAGCATAAAGTGCTGTGCAGCCATTAAGATCTCCTCACCTGTCATTACCCACATCTGTCACCAGATGGTGACTTCACACAACAGAAATCAAGAGTACTTGTTCAAGTCTGTAATGGACTTAAAACCATCCTTAACCTGCAGGTGGAGCTGTGAGGTTACCAAGGAACCACAATGCCAGCTAAGCAAGATCAAACCAATTCAAAGAAAAAATTTGGATCTGTTGTCAGAATGTCTACTTTTACAGAAACACATGTCTTATCTTAATATATTCAGTCTGGGATTTTTTTTATTTTACTTTTTTACCTGATCACAGTGGGAGTGATCTCAGCACAGAAGAAGATGCTCAGGTTGCTGACTGCGTGAGACGAGAACATGCCAATGATGGAAAAGGCCGTGGAGAACTTGTCATTCAGCGTATCGGAGCTGTCTGTACACAATTCAATTCAAGTTTATTTATACAGCGCCAAATATCGACAAGAGTCGTCACAAAGCACTTCACATAGTAAACATTCCAATACAGGTCAGTTCATTAAGCCAATCAGAAAAAAGTTTCCTATATAAGGAACCCAGCAAATTGCAGCAATCCTCATACTATACAAGCATTTAGCGACAGTAGAGAGGAAAACCCTTTTAACAGGAAGAAACCTCCAGAGGATCCTGGCTCAGTATAAGCAGCCATCCGCCACGACTCACTGGGGATCGAGAAGACAGAGCAGACACACACACACGCACACACAAACACACATCCACACACACAACATATATACAAAGTAATGTTTCTATGGTTACATTGTGATTTCTTAGTAAATATTCTATTGGGTGAGAGATAAACTTTATTGTATTTATCCTAGTGGATCTATAATTAAACGGGTAAACTAGTAGTAGCACATCCAACGTCAAGGAAAGCAAAAAGTTATCAGGAGAGGGAGAATGTTTAAATGGTTGGCAACAGTGTTCAAGACAATGGCCCCCTCTATGAGGCCACCACAGCTCATCAGAACATCATTGTAGCTTCTTCTGGACAGAAAAAACACTTATAGAAAAAATAAAGTTAACAGCTGAAATAGCAGGAAATAATACAGTTAAAGAGCAAATTGTAGAAGAAAGTAGTAGAGTGTGGAAAGTGGTCAGTGTGTCCTCTAGCAGTCTAAGCCTATAGCAGCATAACTACAGAGATAACTCTGGATAACCTAGCCTTTTAGATGGATGCATGTTGGAGGCAGGGCAAGGGAGAGCTGTCTTTACCGACTGTACACTCCACCTCCCTCTACTCCGCCACTTGTCCAGATCTAGGCCAACATCAGATTTTAACCATAGGCCCTATCAAATAAAAATGTTTTAAGCCTAGTCTTAAAAGTAGACAAAGTGTCTGCCTCACGGAATAAAGCTAGGAGTTGGTTCCACAAGAGAGGAGCCTGATAACTAAAAGATCTGCCTCCCATCCTATTTCTAGATATCCTGGGAACCACCAGTAAACCTGCAGTCTGAGAGCGAAGTGCTCGGTTAGGAACATATACAGAACAGGACACACATGCAGACATTGCACTCAGCACTTTGTGCAATTAGTGAGTAAATAACAGTGCTGTGTAGTGAAATACAGGATGAGGAAGTGTAACTTTAGTTATGTGCTAGTCAGCAAAGATTAGACTAAAAACGAACAAAAAGCTGACAGTTCAAAACAAATTTAATTTAAAAGCTAAATAAAGTCACGGCTGTAGTCCTGAAATATCAAATGTTTTAAAACTTGGTAAATTAAAAAGACCTAAACCAAAATATTTTACTAAATATGACCAACACTTACTGGAAACCGATCTAATTATCTAAATATGTACAAAAAAGTTTCATATTTTCATGTCCAAACTTATCATCTGGTCTTAAATAACTATTGTAACTTTAGGGAATAATCAGGCAGGACTTCTGAGTTATTTTTTATCATGCAAACACAAAATTGTTTTTACCCTTTAAAGTTGCAAAATTCAAAATATTTTTTAGGTGAAGTGGCTACATTTGATAAAATTGTATTCTTTTTTTTGGCACTAATGCTAATTTTGAGGACTTACTGAAAATCTGTCTGGCAAACAAATACCAATTTATTCCCAAGCACAGAGTGTAATGAATAAGAAATGTGGCAAGAAGATCAGAGGAGACTGCCTAGTGATCTTTATCTGTTTCCCACCGAGGAAGGGAAGAGAGCAGCGAGCTCAGTAACCACAAACCCAATCCACCTCCACACAAAGAGGAGAAACGAGAGTGGTGATTACATTTAAATCAACTTCTTGATCAGCAGCAGTACAAAATACTAGAAATAAACAGGAACGTACCTATGTTCAGGTGGTCACTGTACTTCCACAGCACTAGAGGGGTAAACAGATATGGATGAGTGAGAATTGCTATGTTCAAGAACCACATGAGAACACTAAAACTGTGTCAAACATTACATCCAAAGTTATGCAATTAGTCAAGAGTTCAACAAGCACAACATCTTTAAATGGCACATAAAGCGTAACCTTGATGTGTTGACTCAAGCTTGTTTGCTACTGTATAATCTCAGATGTACTTATCTGGAAGACCTTTGACACCGATAAAATAAAATAAAATGTAACCATGTTCAGTCACTTCATGAAAAACAAGCATTTATGCAGAGTGAAGAGATGAAAACTTCCTGAATGATTGTGCTTCAGGCTCGTTGTGATGCACATCTGCAGAGAAAAACGATTTGCACGTCTGTGAAGCATGTGTTCCCGATGACGTCAACGGTTCTGTTCAAAGCTGCTTCATAGTGAAAGAGCGACTGAGAGGGCGTGCATATTTTGGTTGATTTTGTGCTTAAATACCTGTGCGGTTCCAGTCGAGGCACGCTAACTGCACTCATTAATCTGCATGTGCTTTTCATGCTTTCTGAATTTTGTGAGGTAGTTAGTAGGTTAATAGGTAGCAGAAATGTGCAGAAAATGTTGTAAAACTTGATCATTTTTACACGAATTGTAAGCTAGTCCACATTTCAGACAGAACCAGACTAGCTCTTCACTTACGGCTGCTAGTGACAGCTTTAGATTTACAAAATCTAAAAGCAGTGAAGACATTTTCAGCTTTCTTTTGAAAAGAAGGCAAGTCATCGTTCCAAGAATCTTACAACTCTTCTTCTTAAGTCATAAAGCTCTATTTCTCTTTTTCAGTAGCTACTAAGTCATTCCAGACATGGTTGAATGGGATAAACCACATCGGAGCAGTGAGACAGACGTTGGACATCAGTGGTTAAGTGTGGGTTTTCATAAAGAACTCACGGTTGAGCAGACCGAGCTCGAGCAGCGACGCCAGAGCAGTGATGATCATGAACACGAGAAGCCCGCCCCGCCGTCCCATCAGGCACACCGCTGGACACAAAGCGATGCACGATGCCACCGCTATGCCCACTGTTGTGTAATAGTGTGCATAAAAGTTATGGAACCAGTTGGTTTCTTGAGCTTCCTGCCTTATCATCCTTCGAGCAAAGCAGTGGTGGATCCCATAGCCAGTTAGCCTGGATGAGGAGTAAACAAGCGTGTGAAACAGAGGTAAATGTCACAAAATACAATGACTGCAAGGGCGATGTGTGTAATACAAAAAAAGAGGGTTGCAGCAAAGAAGGAAGAGGGAAACATTAAATTTATTTTTATGTTGTTTCTCTAACTTCAAATGCAAACAGAGCAGGTGTGCGTGCACGCACACGCAATAGGCAAACACTCATATCCTCCTGCCTTCTATGTTTGTCTAATGTTTCCTTGGGACAAAACTCATGTAAAATTCATGCTAGCTAAGGGAGTCAGGAATACACCACTCTCTGGAGCTGAGATAAAGCTGCAGATGAGGTCTCAGGCGGAGACTGAGGAGACGGGAGATCCCCAGAGAGATCCAAAAAGAGAGCAACACCGATACGGATGGCATGACTAAAGATCAATGATGTACTGAATCTGCAGGTTTATATCGGCATCATGGCAGCACAAAATGCCAGCTATGACTGGCATTACACACACTCACACACACACACACACACACACACACACACACACACACACACACACACACACACACACACACACACACACACACACACACACACACACACACTTCCTAGATTTCAGATCTTCACATGGCCACGCTGGCCCCTTAAAGCATCCAGTCAGGTTTCTGTGTTAGAAAGCCATAACACTTACGAGTTGACACAGAGGACAACAATGTTCTTCCACAGGTTCCTCGTCCCAACCATTTTCACGATGCAAGTTTTTTTGGGTTTCTTCTGAAGAGCTCTTTGCAGTTCTGGGAAACAAAACGTTTAAGGTCAACTTTACTTATATTTTTAATCAATACTTACAGTGGTTTCTAGAAGGAATGAATACTTTGTAAGTCGTTCTCTGGGGGAAAAAAGCTCCGGTGCGCCTGTTTGAGCCCATAGAAGCCAGCCGGAGGAGAAAGTAGTTGCTAATGCTAACGGTTAGCTCCTACTAGTTGAGACATTCTCTGCTGTTTCCTGGACGTTAAACCAACAACAGTTTTCCCCCCTTGTGAGTGAAGATGGGTGAGTACATGAATGTTATTGTCAGTGTGATGTCACGCAGTCACACTTTTCAAAGTCTAGCATTTAACTGTTTATTTTCTATCAGAAGCTGATGCAGGAGACTTTTTTATGTTCAGCCTGCATGAAAAACTCAAGAGACCAATATAATGACCAACTATAATCAGAAATAATAAGTAAAACATGGTTTCTCAGTGAACTTGCTCTTTAAAAAATCTGATTAGATCAAGCAAAAGCTGCTTATTTCCAGTGAGATCTGTGTTCATTTCATTTATGGGCGAGAACAGGCTCAGTAGCTCCCGTGGAAAAAACTTTTGCCTGTTTTAGTAATCCAACTCGCAAAGAAATGCATCGTAAACTGATCATCACCGTAAGGTTGCCATGTGTAAGTACATTTCTGGAATGAATGATGTGTAATGGCCTTAGTGCAATGCACGGCCAGCTGACACTCATCAAACCCTAGCCTGGAAACTGTAGCAGTAGTAAAAGATTTTGTTCTGCAGGGCGATCTAGCCATGCTTCATTGTAGCCTCAGCAAGTCTACCATTGGCCCATACAGTTTTAGGTCTGTCCAATCACAGCACTCAACATTTGTAGAGAGATGTTGCCAGAGCTGCAATGGCGATAAACCACAAAGGTAGAGTTGGCTAAACAACGGCGTCCATTTGAAACCGTTTTGGCATCAGCTATGAAAGATTCAGACTTGAGCTTTTCTTTAGCCGTTTTTACAAAACAATGCCGTCAATTTGTCGCAACGCCGTGGCGGTATCAGGGGAGCCTTAGGTCGTTTATAAGTGGTCAGACTGTGGCGTGTCCTTTTCACAAAAGAGTACAGAGGACGCTGAATTGCTCCAGTTTGCCGTCTCCACTGATTTTGTTCAAAAAGCAAAACTTACAGCCCATGTTTACTTTTATTTTCGATACAGTTACCGGCCGGAGCTCGGCATTAGCTCCCTTCATCATCATGACATCTCCCTCTGTTGCATCAAGGCGCAATCTCTGTTTATGAGACAGACAATTACCGCCATATTACTAGCAAGCGAGGCAAAATGAATGCCGCAAATTTCGCACAACACCATGCCGGCATGGCGCGTTAATAAGACACACTGTTGCGGTAAAATCACACCAATTTGCCGGCACGGTGTGTCTTGTAAAAAGGAGCTTCTGAGATATAAGCAGATGTTATTCTTTTTTGACAATATCTGCCCCGTTGACTGATTTTAGTAGCAATGGATACGGCCCACTGTTCTTTGCTCTGATTGGTCCAAGTGCTGTCCAATTACATTTGGAGACAGTTTGAAAGACGACTGCACATTCCACCTCACAACCGGACTCTCCCTATGGGTTGTAGCTAGACTAAATATTTTCATAGGATGGCTTGTCAGGTAAATCAAAACCCAGAATAATAATTTGATTAGATCGAAAAGAAACATAATATTAGACTATCTTCTCGATTATTGTCATATAGAGTAGAATTCTCTAATTAAAAGAAAACTTGACGCAGACTGAACACTTCCAAGCAGCCGGATCGAAAAAAGGAACCCTTTTACATTTTTAATGTGATGGTCTCCTCCCACAGAGCTAGCCCCTTGCTGTTTTCTCACTCGGGTGTGACAGTGCTCCTAAGGAGGCGACACCTCTGCACCACAGTGCATGTGACACACCAACACAAATGGATGTTTTGGTATCAGATTGCAGGTTGCCACAGAAACACACCTCTGATACATGGTGCTGTACTTCCACATTGACTCAGAATTATGTCAGCATTCCTCACCGCCCCTCAAGGCTTTCCAGAGTTTCCCTGGCTGAGCTTCAAACCGCCGAGTAAGACTTCTCCTCCTTGGATTTTTGCAAATAATTCAACTCATTTTTTATTTTTTTTTAAAAGGTGGCTTCATCGATGGTTATATTCACGAACGGGCTAAAACTCTTGCGTCATAACATGCCTTTACTGCTTTACAGTGGAGAACAGGACTGTTGGGGTTTGAAAGAGACCATTAACAAAAGAAGATATAAATTCATGCTTCTGGCGATGTCATTTTTTCAGTAAATGCTGCATCAACCTAAAGCCAGTCAGCTCAAAGGAAAAACTAAGAAAAGTTTAAGATTTAATAGTTCTCTTTTAAGCAGTTTCCCCATTAGTTGCCTTTTTTTGAGAAGTTTAAAAAATACAAAGAGCAACACATTTTAGAACAAGAACTGAAAAGAAAACACTTTTTTTTACTGCTCAGAGCGATTTTGGCAACATTTGGTCTCCCAACAGCCCACGTTTACCCCGGGGTCAAAGGGCGCAACCTTCCTCCATCTGCCATCGGACGATCCCGCCTGCTTATGTCTACTCTTATGGCCTATAATGAAATTATTGAACATTGAGGGTGTCATAATGCAATGTACAACTCCCACTGCCACCTCCGAAGTGGTGTGTTGCTATGGTAACAAGACAGGAAATCAACATAACCTTGTCAAGTTGTCTTATTTAGCTCAGCTCAGCTGGGGAAGCTGATATCTTTGAAGTCGAGTGAACAGATAACAGAATAAAACCCATTAGAGGGAATTACTTTAATACTGAAAACAGCATTTTGGTGAGTTCCATACCTGTGAGGATGTTGTCAGCATCAAGCTGCATGTCCACCTTGTTCTTCTCAGCGATGTGTCCCATGATCCATTTGGAGCGGCAAAACTGCTGAGTGGCCAACAGCCAACGCAGTGACTCAGGGAAAATCCTGTCAGAAAGACAACGAAGGGAAGTCCTTGTTAATGTGCCGTGAAAAATGAATCAGAAAGAAAAGGAGGGTCCTGCTGCTGAAAAGTTGATTCAAATCTCACTTGGCGAGGGTTAGCGGTGCAAAAAATGATCTCGTTCGTCAAACACGCGGAAGCATTTCAGCACAGTCCGATTGTGATGCAGAGAGGGGAATCTTTATTACAGGGCAGGTGGTTAAACATATCCCAGACAGAAATGGAGTCAAACACATTAAACACACGCCGTGTGCCGCTGACTCTGCCTAACAGCCATTATTGCAGCCGCTTTCATGCTTCATTACCGGGTTTGTGTATATAACAATGTCCCTCAGACACCGATTGCATCTTAAAATGAAAATAGACAATAAAATCACTGTGTTGCATGTTTTTATAATTCTAAAGAAAATGTTACATTAAATGCACATTTTCTTTAGATCATGTTCCAACTTTATTGCAGCTTTTATTTAATTATATATATATATTTTTTTTTTTTGCAAAAACGAACACCCACCTGCCTCCAGCTCGGCTGACACCATAGCAGAAAACTAAGCGTTTAGGTATTTGCTTGAATTTGTAACAACTCAGCTTTAATCTTGCTAAGCTCTGGCGTGGATAACATTTGCGTTTACAAATGCAGCTTTTGAATCCTGATGCTTAGTCGGCTGTTTTGATGTTGGCAAGGCTGGTGATTTGCAAGAAAATAAAATTAAAAATCACAGTGTTCCAATACACAAATCTGGCTATTTGCAAAAGATAAACTCTCTCCTTCAAAATGCTCCAGTGGAAGACTGGATGTAACGTTTCCAACATCTTTGTAGTTTGCACAGTTTGTACAATTCTATGTTGCAAAACGTCCCCAGAACTATGTCTCAACCCCCGCTCACAGCTCCTCTACACGTTCAGACGTTTTACCTTAAACTAAGAACAGGGCTTTAAAAGTATTACTAATATTTTTACTGTTATTAGTATTTTTATTAAACAGACTTGCTTACATTATTACATTTTACTTCTGCTGAGAAAATCCCAGGGACTTTTTCTCTTTCCTGCAGTAATTAGAATCATTAAATTCCCATTAATAAAAACAGAACATTTTTCCTCACAAATGAACAAAATAACTCCATTAACCTCTTAAATGTGGTCACACAATGGTCACTTTATTTTATATACCACGCTGCCCAGTTCAAACACATCAGTAAATATTTATTATTTTAATTGACTTGATTTTTGATTAATTAAAGAGTCTTTTAAGAAAAACAAACTCTTGAAATTTCAACTTTAGAATAAAAATGTGATATTTTACTATCACATAAATGAATCCACGTCCTTCTAGAGTTACAGATTTCACAACAAGTCACTTCGGTATTCCAGCAAACAAGCATTCTGTACTCTGTCTAACCAAGTGACAGAGGTTGAATCTATTGACGTATGAACAAACAGCAGCTCTACTCTGTGGCTAAAGGACTTTATCACTTTTCAGACGCGAACAAAAAGATGTGCTGCAGCTAATTTACTGAGGGTTAAAGCGTGGGTGAGGAACATCCTCTTTCTTTCAAAGTTCAAAAACTGGATTACAAATTTGTTGTGTTTGTATTCAAAGGTGGCTGCTAATCCAAAGCTGCTTGAATACCAAGCCAACTCTGAAGAATAATATATACAATGAATGCACGCACTTGGATGGGGTCATGTGCAGGGTTTGAAGCAGAAAAGTGTTTCAAATGGCTGCTTTTGCAAAGAACAGGACGTCTCCAAGACTTTCCACTTTCTTTTAACATTGATGAATTTTTCGTACCTGGACAATCCAACATTTTCTTGGAAATCTTTTCCCTGGACATTGTAATGTGATGAAAAGTGTAGGAAAATGCATGATATTGCTCACCAGTATAATAATAATTAAAGCAGTTGCAGTGAATCTGCAAACGAGCTAGGTTTTGAACATGGTCATGGAACACTCACCCCTCCTTCTGTATATCGTCCCTGAGACACTTTTACTGGAACCTAAAACCCGCAATGCCAGAGGAAACGAGAGAGCGCTAAACACCGGTCACTGTTTTCTAGGTCCAAACGTCTGTTGTTGTCTGTGACTTCAAATGGTGTTTTTCTTTTTGGGACTCTATTGGACTCCAGTGGTGTTCTGTTGCTAAATACAAGAGTGCGTTATGAATGGTGGACCCAGGGAAGTGCGGCGGTTTGGTGAGACCAACAATCGAATGGTCCAAAAGTTGCTTTTTGTCCAAAAAGTACTATTGGCGAAGGTTTTAGACGAATGAGAGAGAACCATTTCATTCATTTTTATTTCATCTCCACAATATATTTATAGCTATACTGTGTTAAAATGTTGTCAAGAGGCAATAAGCTTTAATGAAAGTTTTTTTTTTCCTTACCAAATGTAGGTCAGCATAAGCAGCAGGGGACAGATGATGACAGCCTGAAGTACCTGCCAGTCACTACAGAGGTACGCCACCCCGGGCATAAGGAGCCGACCGCCTAAAACCACAAAATTGGCCACCATGGTCATGGTAAACCGCCATGCTGGCAGGCACAGCTCAACCCCTGGCAGAAAAATAAGAAGATTGGGACATTAGAAAATAGGAAAAATTAGAGCAAAAATTTTACCAATATTCCTTCAATAGTAATAAGTCAGATACAAAACACCAAAATTCACAAGATCAGCTTTTTCCTGTGTAAGGATTAGATATGTATCCCATTAATTCTCACCCTAGGGAGAAAAATCTTTAATATCTAACCAACAAGATGGAACACACCTGACAAGGTGAGGCAGACAGGCAAGGACAAGAATCCTGTCATTAATGTTTTTCCACACAGTCAGGTTTTTATTTTCAGATGCAACACGAGCCCCAGAAGTAAAGAAAGCCACTCTGCTCCACGTACAATGGGGATTAAAGAAAAACTTGCAAAGAGTTGGTGAGAATATTTTTCTTTTTTTAGATTTTAATTTGTAAAAATTTTCTGAGAGGGTGTAGGGATGAGAATAGTAAATGTGTGTGAGGGTGAAGTGACCAGAAACGGGTTCCTTGTACTAATTTCTCTGCTATCAGAATGGTTCTGATTCATTCAGTCAGACATTAGCATGCACAGCACACTGACCACCAGCAACCCCAGACAGCCTGGCTCTTTATTTACTGCCGTAGAGAAGACAGGTTCACATTATGCCACTGAAAAGGGGCACTACTGTAATACTGCTGTCCTCACTAAATCTTGTCCAATTCCTTTCATACTTTTTTCTGTGATGCATCACAATTTCTTTCCTTTCGTCTTCAGATGAGACTTTCAAGGTGACAGGGCCAGGATAATACAGTGGGTGTTGTCAGTCTCACTTCATTCCAGTAGAAAAGACTGGAATTTCAATTAGGATTTGCCAACTACCCCTTCCACGCTCCCCCTGAGGACTTGAATAATGCTCTCTGTTCGCTGACACGATCGCAGCTGGAATGACAAAGCCAATGAGCGGCGAGCAGGGCGATGGGTGCAAGGCCCGCTGAGTTTGAACCAACTAACCTCAAGGCTCTCAGTTTGTGTGCCACTGGGAGAAAAGCCACAAGTCCTGAATGGCCTCAGAAATGAGACTGATAAGCTAAAGGCTAGGCTGAGAGCATCCCAGATGAAAGGTTATTGCTCTATTTACCTGAAAACGGGCTTTTCAGGAAGTAATCTAAAAATGCACCAAAAAAAAAAACAATTTCTTTGTTTGTGTTATGTATGGGTTCTCACACACACCAAGACACAAACTAAATTACCATTAAAAACACCATAAAGAAAGGCATAAATGATAGTAACATACATTTCAAAATAACTTTTCGTCAATTTGACAACCAGTCAGTAACGAACAGCCTAACACATTAAGAGCTGTCCTGCGTATTAAGTGTTGTCAGGCAACATAAAGATTGACAACAATAGTGATTTATTTTATATCGTGATATATATATATCGATATCGACTGATATAAAAATATCATGATAGGATTTTTTCTAATCACCCAGCCCTACAATTAGGACAGTTTGGTTATAAAGAAAGGAAAAATATATGCTTGTCATTGAGTGTAAAACAGCGAATCACCACCTAAACTCTTCTGAGATGTCATTTCATCGTAACTTTTCATCTCAAATCATTTGTCTCCTTACTGCAGAGTGAACTCCAACAATGGGAGCTATCTTGAGCTCCTTACACCAGGTGACCCTAATCCTCCAACAAAACACTCGATCAGCATTCCCCTAAAGCTCTGCTGCTTCTGTCTTATTGACATAAATCTACTAATAATTCACCAGATGCAAAACTCCTAGGCAGCAGTCAGGTTGCAAAAGAAAACCAAAAGAGACCTACCAGCTGGTGAAGTGGAAACGATAAAGCCACTGTTAATAGAAACTGACAGGAGTGGATGCACAAATGACATCATCAGTGATCAGGACAGTAGCCTATTAGTGAGGAAGATGATCCTCAAAGAAGCTTTGACTAGTTAGCTGATTTGGCAGTCCAGAAATATGAGCTACCCCCTGCAGTGTGAGTCTTTAGCCTTTTATCAATCTGAAAATTTTAAAAAGCCTGCAGTTTTAGAGGTAGAAGAGAATAGTTTACCTCTGAATGCACTCAGCATGCATGATGTAACTTCTAACGAGGTCCATATGGCCCTCGAGTCCAACATGGTCAATCTGGAATTTATGATCATGATGAAAACTGCTTGTATTTTTCTTCTCGGAAAGGTATTTTTTATGTAATTACAAATGAGTGTACCATAAAGTCTTCTTGCAAGAAAAAGAGTAGTCACACCCACATGAACTTTTTTGTGTCAAATGCAACTACCTTTAAAATCAATGCCTGCGAGTAAACGTAACCCTTATTTAAATATATCACCAAATTCTCTGAAGTATTAAGTGATTAAAATGAGTCTTCCTTCAGCTGGAGTTCTGCAGGTGCATTGTCCCAAAATGCAAGCTTTAGAAACACCCAATAAAACAGACGGGGGTTGGAAGGGGGTTGGGGCACGGTTCAGACAAACATTAAAGGGCCTGTAGCATACTATTTTACAACTTCAAGAGCAACAATAGGCACAATATAGGGCTGGGTGATATCAACCAAAACATACATCTTGATAACTTTTAGCTGAATTCCGATATACAATATATATCGATATTTTTCCTCCTGTAAAATATTTACAAGTTAACTCACTTCAAGCTGTCTTGAGAAATTATATGGATAAATCAGTAGATTAAATGCATACAAATGTATTGATTCTTGTCAAACTTTAACCTTAGTGCCTATTCTCTGCCAGTCTGAGCTTTAGAAACACTGTTGCAGCCGTCAAAACACACACACACACACACACACACACACACACACACACACACACACACACACACACACACACACACACACACACACACACACACACACACACACACACTTGAGAGCTGGAGATGTATCAAATGTCCCACTGGTGCTTTTAAATTATATATTTATAATTAATGTAAAATTATTAAAATTTCATCTAGATGTGGGCCATATTGTATATTTCTTGTCCAGAGAAAAAAAATCTATCATGTTAAACTACATTTATGAAGATGCTAGTGCCAATCTCTAGTGGTCATCTTGTGAGAGGCGGGAGTCTCCAATCAGCCCGACAGGCATGATTTTGGTCTATGGGAGGAAACCAGAGTACTCAAACCCATTCATGCACAGGGGTAAAAATGTACCAACTTGTTGAAAAAGTACCAAACAGGTCTTGCGACAATGCTACCGACTGTCACCATGCAGCTGAAAGTTTAGTTTGTTGACTGTTTTTCTAAAGACAACATATTATGCAAACTCACTTTTTGTTTCAGTGTGGGTCTCTATTGCCTCTATAATCATTCCAAATTTGGGCAAAAAGGTCCATCTTTTCTCTGTTTATGTTTAGTTTTAAGAATTATGTGCCTAAAATGAGCCGATTCAAAAAGCTCCCCATTGTGATGTCACAAAAGGGGAAATTTCCACAGAACCATCTCTCGCTTGTTGATGCTGAAGGAGCAACAGCTCAATTCATGGCCCCTTGGAACTTCTCAACCTATAGCAGTCCGAGTAGGGGAGGGGTGAGAGTGGCCAGCTTTTAAGCAACAGGACCAGGAAACGGCTCATTCTGGAAAGTACTGAATATGTCAAAGATAAAAATGCTGAAGTCGCTTTTTGTGAGGAGGATTATGTGCAAAACATTCCATGAAAATGTTTTGCTTTGACCACAGAACTACTATAACCTTTAAAAATGCTGACAAATATATTCTTTAAAACTTCAGATTGTGTATTCTGCATAAAACTCCATGAGGCCTTACACTTCAACTGAAGCTATTATCAGCTTGATAGACATAGAGGAACAAAATCCACTGTTCGGTGATTGCAGTTGGCCAATGTTCTGAATGATTGGCCAATCTATAACTATTAAATCAGTACCAGTACTGGTGCTGAAACCCCAAATTGCTGCGTTGTCATTTTAAATTTTTAAAACTTCACACAATCAACTATGATGATGCTTTCTTTAGGTCCCTTCTCTGGAAGCAGGCCAACCCTGTCTCAAATTACAGTAAACCTCAGTTCTCTGATTTAGGTCTGGAGAACACAAGTCTTTTCCTGGCATCGCTACAGATTGACCTGTAGTCATTCAGTCAGGAATTTATTGCAGTATAAATCAGACTGGTTTTAAGGTATCCTTTGAAATCAAGCAGAAAATTACCACCTGGCAGAGTACCAAAACACAATTGTTAAAACACACACACTGACAAGGTCAAAGGACTTTGTCAAGTCAAATGAAGTCATGCTTATCATTTGTTTGTGCATCTGGAGGATCCTAGTGATTGTAGAAAATGGAGATTCTGGGTACGAATGTGCAAGGACAAACTGCAGCTTAATCACAAATTAGTCCCAAAGAACGTTCTGTATTCGTTTGCACTCTTCTTTAAATACAGTGACTCTTAGCAAACAAACATCCTGAGATATCGACCTTTCTACCTTCAGCCAAACAGAAAAAGAGGGAGTATTGACTACAAGGAAGGCCAAACTCACTGATTAGTCTCTTATCTTCCGTTGCACTCAATTCTAACTAACCCCAGCTTGCTTCTGGCTTTTCCTTTGATCCTGGTTTGCAGGAATTTTCGACAATCACGCCAGAAAAAACACAACCAGAGGACAGTATTTTCTTTCTGATTGTGTTGTTTGCGTGTTTGTAAGTCCCCTACTCTCCACCACTGGCATTCCCATCCTCCCTCCCTTCCTCCCACTCACACACAGAGAAAAAAAAACAATCAGCACAAAAAACAAGCAACTCATGAAGTCGCCATGGGGGAATTGGGTGGCTGATAAACAGCTGACTGGCCTAACACAACACATTTCGTAATCTTACAACTGAAACAGCACTATTTTTCTACATGCATCAGAAGAAAGTGCAAAGGTTTCCACAGCTGATTTAGCCAATCACTTGACTTCAGTCAGGAAACCATAGAATGAGATAAGCTGTCATGCAATGTGCATCACGATCAATTCCCCTCTGACCCCAGAAGTAAAACAGGAAG